TGGGAAGGTCCACGATGGCCTTGAAAGTGTTCTGCGCGCCTGGCGTTGCGAGCCGAAGCTGCGGGAAGTGGGCGTGCCATTTTTTAGGGGACCCCTCAAAATGCTTGGTGCCTCATTTGGCTTCCCAGTAAAGCCGCCAAAAAAGGGGTACACACGGTTGAAACTACCTCACAAAGACCAGGGAAACTGGCCACATGAACAAAGGCTCGGCCAGAATTCCTCCGTTCCCTAGACAAATTCCACACCTTATCTTCTTGCAATCATGACCAACGTGAGCTTGAACGTACCCCCAAACCTCCATTCTACTCTTTTCACCTTTGTAGTATGGCTTTCCTTGGTCGCCAACCAACTCCCAGGCAACAAGGAACTAGGGGACCCCCAACCCAACTGGATAGAGGCAAGGCTGAGTGTCAGCAGAAACACAGAACGCCTAATGTGCTCACCATTATTGGTGTGTCATTTTTGAGGGGACACCACCCATTTTCAGGGTTCCCCTATTTTTCAGACAATCCCACGTGTGAAGCTTTGAGACAATCCTGCTTGCTAGTTCCTCAGGTCCATTGATCTGCTCAAAGGGGACACAGAACATGCAGCACGCCTCCAATGATCTAGTCTTCCACAAAGGGAAACTGGAAGAAATTGAATCAAGGGTTCGGAACTGACTCGAATTGGCACATCCCTCGGCCCCTTAACTTGCTAGTTGAGGGAATGACTTCCGAACCATCCAACTGGTGGTTTCCTTGCGGATCCCTAGGTTTCCCTTAAAACCAGCTTTAGTTCCCCATGGTTCGATACCGTGGAAAAGAATCCCTCGGAAGCTGCAAAAGTCAACATCCGTCTTCGCAATTTCCAAGGGTTTAACTTTGGGAAGGGAACCAGATTTCAATTTCTCTCCCCAAATTCCGAGGGTATTTTGGTTCACGACCGCACGCCGAAATCCGACTTCCAGCTTCCGGAGATCAATCGTGCCTGTGATGGTGTCCTCGAAGCGTTTCCGAATTCCTCCCGGGATCTTCGACACCTCGCTTCCGACTCCGCTTGCCTTCTTTTGGGGGGGGGGTTGAGGGGAACCCCCCTGTTGGTTAGTTCAAAAGGGTAATGAAAAGGAAACCCACCATTTTGGGGTCCGCTGAAAAAAACACTCGTTCGGGTAATATAAGGGACAAACAAGGGGCCAAACAACTACTGATACCACTATGAGCCCCCAAAATGGTGGGTTTTTCCCTTTGTCTCCTAAAGGACTTGCATTTGCTTTGGAGAATACCCGTTTTGGGGCTGATTCAGAGGGATACCCAAGGAGGGTGAGATGTGTGTGTGTGTGTGTGTGTGAAGTTGCTTTAAACGGAAACCCGGAAGAAAGCACGTTTTGGGGAGGCAAACCAGGGGCGTGCCCTATCGGATTTCCGGACACAAGGAACTGTGGGGTTCAGTCGGGTTCAGTTCCGGAGTTGGTTGCCAACTCAACTGCTACGCCACTCAGGTGAGGCCCGGAGGTGCTGGGCGGCGTTGATCATCCATCTTGTCAGACCTTCACTTTGAGTTGGCAAACCCAGTAATCCCCGTGATGGAAGAGCAAGTCGGCCCACCATGTCCTTTCCAACTTAGCCATATGCAAGTCAACATGGAACCCAAATCGTGGCTCCGCCAAAGGAATAGTTTTGGGGGTTCCATGCCAAGTCTGTCCAAGCCTCACACCTTGGATGGGTTTTAACGCGTGTCATCCTTAAACTAACCTGCCTTTTAACGCTTTTAAGGCCACCCATGCTACAACCAAGAGCGGCGAGACCTGAGACACCGATGACATCGTTTCATCATAGGACATCTGGGGATTCAGTCGCCGTTTGGATCGATGGCGCCTCACTTATGCGTCTTCAAAGTGATTACAAGTCGGATTTTCTTGCACTCAAAGACACATCTGCGTCTAAACAAATTTGACTGCAGCTCGGACTTCTTCAATCATCTGAAATTGTGCGAGACTTTCCGACCGGAGGCCGAGCTCTTTAAATGTCAACTGACACATTTGAAGCAGGCTTGGATTGGCTGCGTATGTCTCAAAACGAGGAATGGACTACCAAGATGGTTAGCTTCCATTTGGCTTGCTTTCAGAACTGAAGGGAGGTGACTCCAAAAGGCACACCTTTTCAATGCGATGTTCAGCTTGACCGAGAGCCGAGCGTAATTTGTGGCATATTCGGTTGCTCAGTGGCACATTGTTTCCATGCACGTTGGGTGGATTCCCCCTGAAAATGGAATCAACCAACCAAACTGGGCCTCCAATTTTCGTTTTACCCGTCGGGGCACTTGTTGCAATTAGGTTTTAATCCCAGGTCGGCTTTGCTCTCCTCATGAGTCATGGTTGTCAAGATCTGTCAAAACACGAGACATGAAAAGGGCACCCTCGCAAGACACACACGCCCGCGCGCCTGTCCGCCCGCCCGCCCGCCCGCACACGACACGGCACGGCACGGCACGGCACGGCACGACAGAACACAACAGAACAGAACAGAACAGAACAGAACAGAACAGAACAGAACAGAACACACACGACACACACGACACACACGCATCCATTCACATGCCTCTGAGGCTCAAAAAGGGTGCCGGCTTCTATCTGCATCCAGGGCACGTTCTCGAGCACATGGGGCGCTGGCGGGGAGTTCGAGGCAGGCTTGGGCGCCTAGCCGCTCCGGGATCCAGTCCGCGCTCCCTTACTCCACCCGGTCCTGGAAACGGAAGGTAACTCAGTTGCCCAAAGGACCCAGACACAACTGGGACCTTGACCAACAAAATCATGGTTCACTTTTCCGGACCTTAGCCAAAGGCGGGGGAAAAACAATGTGATTCTGGCCAATATATGGTAAACCTTAAAACGAAAAGAAATTCTAAACGAGATTCGAGATTTGGGGCAACTTACTTCAGCAAAATGCCAAAGCCAAAACAACACAGGCAAGCCTACCTGAGCATCAAGTCATTGTTCCACTCGACTCTTCCCGGTGTGAGAATCTCCACTTTCATGCTTTCTGCTGCATGGTTCACGCTGAATGCGACACCTTCAAGCCGCTAAGCCGCTTGAACTGCAAGACTTCTCGGCCTCTCTGCGACCAGCCACGGTTCTCAAGTCTGTCGCGTGGGACAACCACAAGGCCACTGGCACGGGAATCTCACTTGGAATCACAAGAGGCAGCTCCTTGCTGGATCTAATTGACGACACGAGCCTTCGGATTCATGGACCCTTTTTGGACGCGGTTCGCGTCTGGGTTGGATCCACTTCCAGGGACTTCTGCGGATTCCATTCGGAACACGGCAACCTAAAACCAACAAGTTCCGCATCTTGCACGCGTTCTCTTGGGAGAGCGTTCTTAGGCCGCACGTGGTTCTCTTCACAAGACAACCATTTTTGCCACAACCGTGGCTTGTGCGCCATGCAGAAACAAAAAGGCGGGATACTCTTCATTGGGGGGGAGCGGGGGCTCAAAGGAACATGCTAACTCCACGTCATGGACCTCCAACATTTCAACCAGGGCTATGTAAAGCGAAACCGAACCCAGCAAACCCTAAAGACACCTGAATAGGACCTATCCATGGCATATCCTAGGCATTATCCCCCCAACCGCCGTTCTTCTACTGACTGTGATCTCAGTTGTGTATTGCCTTCATATACGTAAACCGTTCCCCTGTCCCCAAGCCAAGTGATCCGGATCTCCTCTAAAACAGTTGCACGCCCCACGAAACTGTTGCACCATGATGGTGGTTCACTGGCGACACGAAGAAGTGATTTTGGCACAGAACAAGTTGGCCATGTACCGGCTTTGTCTTGGGTTGGCATCAATCAGCCTACCCGTTGGTGCCTTGGTTGGTTCGGTTAGCCCAAGGGGCTCATATCAAACAGGGCTCGAAACTCACAACTCACCAATTCAAAACCAGTTCAGGATTGCCTGATCTCTACACACACACACCGGGAAGTGGGGGCTAGGTGTTTTTTGCAACGGAACTCCTCATGAACATCTGGAGTTTTTGCATCGCATCAACCCCACGATTTCCCACAGAAACTTAGCCAGCCCAGGCCTGCAGCTCCTTCAGCTTCGCGCCCTGGGATGAACTCGCTCAGAGAAATCACCGAAGGTGAAACGATCAACACGCGCGCGCGCCGCCGTCAGCAGGACTTCAACGCATGCACGGACTTCAATTGTCCGCGTTGAGACATGGACGCGCAAGGCACGAGGACCTATGACCGACGAATCGAAAAGGCCCAGCTAAGACTGCGACGATCCAAGAACAAAGCAAAGCAAACTACGCGCGTGCCAAAGTTCCCTCCACAAGGATAGAATTGCTCTAGAAACGATAGTTTTTAGCGTTCCATGTCAGTTTGCTGGGGAGTACTTCTGTAGTGGGAACTGGAAGGATGTTGCAAGCCTCCTTGCCTTGCACAGCAAATACCTCAAAAAAGACCAGAATCTCCCGTTTGCACATTTGCGTTGGTTCCCCGCTTTACAAATGATATGAGCCCCGGGCCAAACGATTGTTTCCCCAAAAAGACATGGGAATTTTGGGTGCCCTTCTGCTTCTTGTATCATGTTCTAGGACAATTGTGTGTGTGTGTCTCCCCTGTGCCCTCTCCAATTTAACAGTGGACTACCAGTCATTTTGCCAGTTGCTCATAGTCAGCGTCTCAACTCTGTGGTTTGGACTGGCGCTTGGAGGTTAGGGGTTGGTTTTGTTGGTTCGGAAAAGGTCTGAGCCACAATCAAACTCAGTATTGAATAAAAAGGCCGGATACCCGCGCCAACTTCTGGTTGGGACTTTCCCCTACAAAATTCCGATGCAGGTTTCACGGAGGTGGCTCACTTTTGCTTCGTCCCCCACCATGCCTGTGGAAAATGGTCCTCTTTCTGTCATACCAAAATCACTACTTTACAACTTCAAGGGGATTCACTTGGTATCACAGAAAGCTGCCTTGAGATCATGGTTCTACACGTATCCTATGGTCAAACATCCTTATACAAGCCCGGGTCACGGCTCCCTTTCGAATCCTTACCAAACTACCAACCTTCCACAACCCTTGGCTGCTGTTGACCCCCCTTCAAACAGTTTAGCTTTTTTGGGGTTTAGTGGAAAACCCCTTGCTTTCCCAAAAAAAGAAGTCTAAAGATCAACCCAAAAGCAGTCAAGAACCATGTCCACCACACCCTGCGGGCTTGGGCCAGTCTCCACTGATACGTTTTTGGTGTGGGGCCATGGGGGTTGCTCAAAATGGTTTTGGATGGTATTTAAAGGAACACCAAAAGGGAACCGTTGTAGGGCCTCTCCCTGTTTGAGAAACACCCACATCATTGCGGAACTTCACTACTAAGCTTCATAAAGGAGCCTAAATAGTTGGAATGCGGTTTTGGGGTGCTTCAAGACCGAATTTAGTGCGGGGTAAGGTAACCGATTTGCAATGTGGTTGCCCTGTCTCAGCTCTTTGGTGTCCTTCACACCGCCAGCCCCCGGCTCCATCTGAGCGCCGAGACCGTTCTCTCGGCGGCCGCTGAGACCTGAGAAAAGGTGCCGCGAGGCTCAGCCCCAGAAAAGCTTGGGACTTGTCTCCTTCCAACCCCCAACCCAACATATCATGTGTTTGCTTCTGCCAACTATATCTGGTGAACCTGAAAAGTGTGATTTCCAATCACATCAGATCCCAGCTGGATGCCCATCCCCTTCAAAAGAATGAAGCTGCGATTCCAGAGATGTTCCACGCCCTTTGAGTCACAAGCGCCGAAGTTCGCGAACTCTTGGCTCCCAAAGGGTCCAAAGTCCAAAGGGGCTCCATGAAACGTCACCAAAAAGAGGAGTCTTAAAATCGCCAAAAGGTGACGCTACATCTCCTACAGGCGAAACATGTGTCTATGTCAAAATAGGGATTCCGACCCTACAGTTTGGCTGTTTTTGTTTTGCTTTCCCTTTTCAACCAAGCTGAAAACTTGAGGAAACGAAAGCTAGCAGCTGCTGCATGAGATGGCTTGGAAAAAGACTGGCCCAGGAGGGATTCGACCCCTAAATGGGGGGGTTCTAAATAATTGACTCTTGCAACCCTTTAAATCCATTTCAGGGAGGCGCGAACTGAAACCTCAGCTTTGGCCCTGATTGATTCTGGCCTATGCTGAGCGAACCAATCAATGTAGAACAACTCCAAAAGAGACAGGCAATGTGGTTGCTATCGATGTGAACGCAGTTCAGACTCGCGAGCTCCTTGAATTCTGCAGTAACGAAAGACTTCTCTTGAGGAAGGCCACGTCATCAGCCAAAATTGGCGGCTCGTCAGGGAAGAAGTCGAAAGCTTTCTGAGGCCTTCGGCCGACGTGGTCATGCTGATTCCAAGCCGGTCCATGTGCTGCCAGGGACAGCTCCATGAATTCAGCAAGCCACACGTCGAACGGCGGTTGTGTGGCCAAGGCCGTCGCGAGATAAGCACGGGCCGCTTGCCTTCGGTGGCTCGGGAACGGATCGAAGCATTATATACTTGCCTTTCCCGATCCACTCGCGATCTTGGATTGTGGCTCAGGAGATCATCGTAAGGGATTGAAGCTTCAACGCACAGTCTCCGCTTCCCTGCCACAAGCCTCAAAGGGGCTCCTATAGATCTTTTTCATCGAGAACCATTCGAGGAAACTCGGGAACTCCATAGGGAAAGCTGTCGCTCGGCTTGGGTGCCCACCCCAAAGCCAAACGCTTTGGGCAATGGGTTTGTCTTGAAGGGAATCTACAAAAACTGGCAAGGTTGTCCTTTCGGTTTCCATTTTCACCAACCAAAAGAGAGTTCCCCCCAAGACATTGCGAAACAAACACCCAAAAAGATCCCAGCTGGCCCGTGAAGCAATACGCCAAAATGGACACCAATGGGTCATATCTGAGACATGTAGGCACAGCAGCACGTGGGTTCAACTCTGAATGGTGGAATCCCGAAAACGGGTGGCGTCCCTCTTCCTTCTGGGTGCCAAATTGAAGGCATGATAGCAAAGCAGGGGCCCTTAAACTGGTTGCTATGTTCTCCACATTGCGATTGTCCCACTCCATGTGTTTCCTGTTGAAACAACCCCCAAGTGGCTACCCCGAAAAAAAACATACCCACGAGAATGTCTTCTTGTGGTGATTTTGGGAGCTCAAACAAATTGCAACAAATCCAGATCTACCCTCAACATCGAAGTGGAATCCTGCCCCTTGCAGGATCTCCCCTCAAGTCCCAACTGATTGATCCTTTTCTTGGGTTCTGAAAGGCCTCAACACCGGCTCCCTTTCAAAGCAGGGCTGGCCTGAAACATCTGTGAAAGAAAACAAAAAACAAAAAAACATCCTCCAAAGGTCGCCAGGGCACTGTACTGGAATGCAATTTGTTGGTTTTCAAAGCCAAGTTGGTTCATGATCATGCGAGTCAACTCTTTGACACTATAGCTAGCGCTTTGTATGGTTTGAGCAAAGTTGCCACCCAATCCCTGGCAACCCCCACCAATCCGGCGGTACCAATCCGGCGGTAATTACCAATCCGCGCGCGCCTCAACGAAGGGCCGCTGGAACTTCTGCCACAGCTCTCCGGGCACCGACTGGCCAGCGATTCCCATCGGCCCGAAAATTGTCTGACTCGTCTTTTATTTAGGTTGGACCCCCCAAACAATTGCGAAACGGTTTTCCTTTGGGTGTCCTTTAAAACCACCAAAAACGACCAAAAGATGACGACCCCTTATGTCCCGGGGAGGCGTGCGGACTGCCGGGCTGAAACAATGGGTCACCCTCTCTCCAAACACAGCTGATGATCAGAGGGTATCCACCAAAACCTCCACGTCCTTGATTGTTGGAACGAGGGTTGACATCTCCAACCTGTTTCTACAACGATCTATGTGTCTTAGAGCCTTTGCGTTTCCCTTGCAAGGAATTGGACCAGGGGTTGGCAGTTCAAACAAAATTCCCTCAACCCTGCGTGCAAGCGTGTTGCAATGAAATGTGAGGCCAACCGAATCGTCCAAAGACATGCTCTGACCCGAGTTGATTCGACCAGTCAACAAGCAAAGCACCGTGATTCAAACGCACTCCCTGGAATGTGCCTCTAAGAAGAACCATGGTTGAGTTGGCTAAACACTTGTTGCCGGGCAACTGAAGGCTCAAACTCCTGATCAAAGCTATGTGCAAGTCCTTCGGCGCACAACCTGACCCGTGTGGATATCTTCCTACAGGAAAAATGGCGGTTGTCCTTTTGGTTTAAAGAAGTGGGCAACCTCAAGAAACCCACCCATATTTTTAGCAGCTTCCTTTCACAAGGGACGAGAACCTACCTCATTTACGGGGCCCCTATTTTGACGCATAGCTGTATGGCTTTGAATGAATCCCGGGCTTGGCGAACCCTCCTTGGCAAATGTCTCCCTTCCAGGTCAAAGCTCACGGAACTTGTTTGGGCCATCGCTCGTAAATTGCCTGCAAGAGGGTTTCCGCTACCCCCAGACCCAAGCTACCCCTAGGTAAAAGAGGAAGCAACCTTCTTCGCCACTATACAAAAGGGTACAAACCCCATTGAGGGTCACGGAATATTCTTTGAACGTGGGGAGTCCTTGTTCAGTTTAGGGTGCAAACCTAGTGATATACTGCTCAAGCGATTGGTTTATGAGTGAACTGTAGAACCTGTGCTGCGCCCTTGGTCCGATCCCAAGTGGTTATTATGGGAGGCCCCGTTACATCTTTAACCAAACTGAAACCCGAAAAAGACCCTTCACCCTTCGCCTGAATGCTGGATACCCTGGGCTTTTGCAAGCCCATCTCATGGCATTTTTCTACATGGGGGCTTCATATGATTCGGCGATGTCCTTTCGTTCTCGTTCTTTTCGAAGACCAGCCCTTTGCCTGGGATTTGCTTGGAAAGAAGAAGCCCCAAGATTCCACTTGGCCAAGAATTCGGGAACCCTTTCATTGGGGGTCCCAAAAATCAATTGCTGTGCCTTTTTTTTGGGTCCCCCCAAAATGGTGGTTTTTCGTTTGGTTTCCCTGGAAAAATGACAAACAAAGGGTACCCCCAAAATACGCACCCAACATTCCTCCCACGAAACGGGGAAGCTACTCAACTACCGAACAACCTTCAATTCCCGGTTCGATCATCTGACAGCTCGATCCATCCGTCGTTCCCTCGCCTTCAGGTTCCCAATGTTATCTCTCACCATGGCGGCCGTCTTCCCGAAACTCCTGGCCTCCCAGCGTTGGCGACACATTTAAGCAGGGAGAAGAGTTTGAATGAATCTACACAAAATGAATCCAAACGGTTTCTGAGATTTTTGGGGCGGGGGGGGGGCGGGGTTCTGCAACGCCTGTTCGAGGCGCTCACGTTTCGGTGGAGTCCAAATATGGAGTACCCTGCTGTGATGCCAGCGTGGGATTCACATCCCCGATTCACTGTAGCTGTTCTCTTGGCCACTCACAACCAGTGGCACCTCCTTTGTCTAACAACTGTAAGTGTCTACCAGCTTGCTCATCCCAAACCTCAAATAAGGGAGCCCCAAGCAAAAGCCTTCGTGGAGTTGTCAAAACTATGCGCCGCTTTCCACACACCGGCTTTCAGTAGAAAAGCTGCCAGGCCAAATGGAGACCTGTGGAAATCGAAAGACATATGCACCAATTCATTTTAGGCTGGTTAATTGGAACGGGACCCCTTCAGAAAGAGGTGCCAAAGGGCACAACCCCACTGACCAACAAAGGGTTCCACTCAAAACCATGTCAATGTGAAGAATCAAGAGGGGGTATCTGTATGGCTGGGACGGTCCCTTACAAACCTACGACCCGAATACACACTGAGTGTGAGTGTGGCCCAGGCCATCCCAGTGGCAATCAGTACGGACTGTTTTTTCAGACGCTCACCCATCTTGACGACTTCTGACCATGAGAATGTCAACTTTGATCCAGGCCCAGAAGAAAACGGCAGCGATCTTTTCTGGTGTGTTCTGGATTGATCCGATACTAAGCTGATTTTTGGGCATCCCAGGGACTTCATGGGGCCCGTCGCACATTTTACACGAGTGTGTCCAAGCTCCGGTTTCTCTCCGAGCTTCAACAGCAATCGAATGGACTCAAAGGTTTGCCAGAAAGCAAGCTGCACTTGCAAAAGGGGGCAATTAGCACTGACCCGGCCCGATTCCAAATGGATCCCCAAACAAAATTGTCTCAGTGTTCCAATCTCTCTGTGCAACAAACCCAAAAGTACCAACTTCCAAACCTCCCACCAACCCACCCCCACAGGTCCCGCGTACTCAATGGCCACATTGGGGCCCGCACGGTGTCGTTGGCGGCTCTGGCTGCTTTGCCGGGCGCCTGAGGCACAGATTCGCTCACGTGATGTTCTGTTGCGGGGCGGGGATCTGGCCAGCCAGTTGTTCAAACACGCACCTCCGATCGAGTGGATTGGCCAAACAAGGCCCCATTGTTTTCATTTACAACTGGAATGGTCTCACTCAGGGAGTGAGACTGATTATTTAAACATCCTCTTGGGCATTTTCCTTAGGGTACTGCTCTAGTCTAGTTGTAACTTGCCCCCCGCAAAAAAAGAAGAAGAAATATGTTGGTGTCCTTTTGGTGTCCCTTTAGAACTATCCCCACAAAAAAAAGACAAACCCTCTTTTGTTGTTGTTGGATTTTAATATTGTTCTTTAAAGGGTGCCAGGGTCTGGCTGTTTAATTAAATGTTGCCCAACCCTGGCACGTAGCCCCGCTTTCGGGCCCCCAATGGCTTCAATCAAAGAACTCATGTACGGGCGAGATTATTTGTTCCTATCCGGACATGGACAAATAGGGTCATCCCCCCGAGCTTGTGGGTTGTGCACCCACGTCCTCCCCAAGCCAACAGTACACACCACTATTTGTTCAGTGGCTCAAATTTACGTGCATACCCAAAGCGTTTCCGGGTCGAAGCCTTTCGTGCAGCTGACCGTTGGGAAGCCTGCAACTCGGAACCGCAACTCAAAAAGCATCCGGCACCTAAGGCCAAACAGCCAAGGTACTGGCGACGCTCTCTTTAGCGCCAACTGCCAATGGGTTTTTGGGCAAAGCACCTGGAAAGAGAGCGTCGACATTGTGGGCTGACCGGGCTCCACCTTAGTTCCGGTTGGGCCCCCTGCAGCTTACTCCTTTTCGGCCAAACTCCGACACCCTAGGGTGGACAATGGCAACAATAAAGAGAAAACAAAAAAAGGAGAAACAAAAACAAGGACACCGTTTACCGTGTTTTTAGTGAGGTTTTGCGGTCAAAACGGAAAAACATGAAGGCCAAAGAAGCAACCATGATTTTTTATTGGTGACCATTTCGTGGATGGCTTCCTTTCACTTTGCCTACATCCGCCAAAAACTGTCCCTCGCTCTTCGGGACACATCCGCACCTCGGCCGCGTCCCGTGCCAGCTGCCCCCTCGGCAGCAGGTGTCTTTTTTTTGGCGATGGCACCATGCCATGCCCTGAAAGCGGACGAAAAAAAAAGAAGGAATAACAAACAGATAGTAAATCCAAACTGGGGAATTCCACCAATAACAAGGGTTTCCAGACACCTGCATACAAAAAAGAAAAAGGATATGTTGGATAATGAACTTCCTGTAGCTGGTTTCTTAGAAGCTTGCGCCATCTACTTTCACCCAACTGGCATCGCAATTCAATCGAAACACCACAGTTGCAGCCTTGCACTTCGCTTGGAGTTTGCTGCACCGTCGTGTTGTTCGAACACAAGAAACCACGTTTTGGAGGGTGCTTCGGAAACACAATGACAGATCTTGATCAATCACTCTTCTCCTTTTTGCAAGAGAAACCTTGGGCAGCCAAGCCGCCATTTTAAGCAGCTCATATTCCGGGTTCTCAAAATGGAGCTATATGCAAACTGCTAAAAAGGGGAGCAATACCTTGTGTGACCAAAACATCATGCGCATCACTCTTGAACAGCCCAAAGAGGGTTTACCCCTATCCAAGTCAGACCCCAAGTGGTAGGTGAAAGGGAAAAGAACAACGCTCCTGACCTGTATAACCCCTGTACAGTGACAACATCGTATTGAAAGGGAAACCAAAAGAAACTCATCCCAAGTCAGGCGGCTGTTTGCTGTGAAACACCAAACCCTCTTTCCAAACTTGCACATGGCCGTTTCGGCCTATACATCCATTGGGTAGAGGGTAGCGAAACATCCAATCCAAGAGTGTCCCGTTCCGTAGGCTGAAGCTCTGGTCACGAATCCAATAGTCTGCCTGCGCAATCCGGCAAGTCAATTCTTTCAATCGGGCACGCCCACTGGCCTCTTGGCCATTTGTGGGGAACCCAACTGACAAAAAGGGATTTAGAGAGAGGCAGAGAGAGAGAGAGAGAAGGAGAACGCAAAGAACACGTTGCCTCTCTTTCGTTTTGTTTGTCATTGGGCTGCGACTTTGAGAACGGGCCCTTGAAGGTTCTGTAGTTGAGGATGTGCTACGAAATTGAAAACAGTAGCTTGTATATGTAAATAGTTGCATTAATTTATTTGGCTTGACCCATTTGTATAGCACTGGTTGTGGGCTTCTTGGTATTTCACCCGTGACCAACAACCCCCAAATAGCTGGGGCCTCCGGGCGCTTTGTCCACCAGCGCCTTTGCATCTTGGCCCAGCTTCCGCGCCGTCTCCACCGGGCCTCGATGGAGCGATGCATCGGGCCGGTTGGGAGGCTCGACGCCATTTGGCAGCCGGGGGAGGGGGGGGGGCACGCCTGTTTTTGGGATCAGGCCTAAAAGGAAACCAAAAGGACAGTCGAGGGGGCGGTGCAAATAATATTTTTTGACGCGAACCTTTTCAAACATGTTTCTTGGTTTTTTGGGCGGGCAGGGCGGAGGACGGTTTCCAACCCTTTGTGCCCTCTTTGGATATCTAGGTTTCCACAGTTTTGGGTTTCCTGCGGGTTCCCCATGTGCGCGTTTCCTTCCCGATTTTCCCACAGGTCCTTCTTGGGTTTCCCGTCATTTGGTTCAACTTCCCCAACAGCTGGAAGCTTTGGTGTCTCTGCCCAGATTCGGCTTCGGAATTGTCCGGAGCGGGGTTGAAGCCATGTTGTTGTCATATGAGAATTTGGGCCCTTGTCAAGCGAAAGCAAGGGTTGGCCGAAGCGTCCCCCAAACCACCCCCCAAGGGAAATTGGCCATATTATTCCCGTTGTGTAGTTGCATGGTTGTGGAAAACTAGGCTTTAAGTTGCCAGTTTGTGTGATACCCTAGTATCACCGGAAAATCGTCTCTTTTCACAACCATACTGAGTTGTTTGGTTGTCTGTATTGTGAATTTACCCAGACCTCCAGCAGTGCCTTTTTTTTGGGGGGGGTTCCCTTAGCCAAACAAAGCTGTTAGGGCCCTATGGGTACTCGGGCCCTATGGGGACTCGGCGGGGGGGGGGGGGGGGGCAAAAGGCCTGGTCTACTCCTCGCTTGGGATGCGTTGCTGAATCTCTGGGGCACCGGCCGGCCCGGCGCTGGACCCGCGAGTGCCCCCGCCTGGGCGAGTGTCTTTGCCCCAAATGTCCCGCTGCAAAAAAGGTCCGCTCCTTCCCCTGCATTGAGATGTCCATTCGCAATGCAGATTCATACAGGTGGATTATGATCACGAAAAAGGGGAATGTGAAAAAGGAAACTTGTGGGGGTTGCGTCAGCTCACTATGAGATTATTGCAAAACAACAACAATCTTTCCTACAATCATGGAAGCTAACGGAGGGGCATTGGAAGACTACCGTCCTTTTGAAAAACCCGGCCAGGAAAGTGGGGGGGTTGACTATGATGAACTCCAGCACCTGCTCATAAGTTGTTTGTTCTGCGTTTGCCAACTCAGAGAGCGTGTCTTGCCCGGACACCAAAAGGAAGAGAACCAACCACTCGGGGGCCCATTTCCGCATGTTTCAAAGATACGGCCATTGTCGACCTGTATGTTTCAGCCGCAAAAGTGGATTTTCCCCGTTTAATCATGTTACAAGTCGACATAGGGGTTCCCCCAAAATTCGGGTTTCCTTTTGGCGTCCCCTGCAACCAAGGGTGTTTCAGGGTCCAACCCCCCCCCCCCCCGCACCGCACAACGCCTTGCAGCCACGGCCAAGAGCGCACAGCTCACCACGGCCGTTCCCGCATAACCTGGCCGTTTCCGTCGCCGATTGGGAAATTCGGATGTTCCACAAAATGGGAACCCCCAAAATGGCAGGTGTTCCCTGTGGTTTTCCTTTCAAGGGTAGGAGCCCTGAAATGACTTGTTCCTTTCTGGTTTCCCTTTGAAATCATCCCCCAAAACTCAATGATTTGGAGAAACTCCCACATTGTGGGAAATGCTTAAAAACACGAAGGCTTGCCCAAGACTTGAAGAGGACATGGACATGCGTCAGTCCCCAGATTGTTCTCTCGAAACTAGTGAGTCCCGCACCCTCCCAAAATGAACCATAGTAGACTACCAGCAATAGATGCCCTAGCACTGGTCTTGAAATTGGTCGGTGTTCTGGCATTTACCCTTTGAACACCATCTTCCAGCGGGCTCCTTCAACAAAAAGGCACCCCTAAAGGGGTGCCCTCCAATTTTAAACTGCTCTGCTTCAGGGATTCATGGGAAGTGGCGTCTGAAAAGCCTCTTGGTCGCCCTCGCACAAAATCCCAACAGAACCTCGACCCCTTTGGTTGAGCCCATGAACCTTCAAGTGTGTGGTTTCCATTTTGGCTTCGCTCTCGTTGCCTTGTCACTTCAAACCGACCCCAACACCCCCAAAAACAAAACAAACACCGAGCCGATGTTGGAAATTGCTTATCGTTTAAAACCGTCGGCTGGCTAGGCCGCGTTTGGCATGGGGCAATGACACGGCGTGGGGTTCTCGTTGGCGTGAGCTTGGTTTCTGCTCTGCTTCTGGTGGATCTAAGCTTCGCTTCGCACTTGCTTTGTGCTGTTGTCTGGTCGGCGCCGGGTTGGTGCAGGCATTGATTTAAGACGTATTTTGGCGTGGCTTCAAGTTGGATTTACGGTCAGGTTTGGGCTGATTTGGAGCTGGTTTGAGGTTGTATTTAGTGTGGATTTGGTGAGGTGCGCTTAGAGTTGAATTCGGGAAACTCTAAGGGAACAAGCTGTTCTCAGGGATCCCTCCCAAATACATCAGCCCGTTCAACGGGTCCATTGCGATCTCTCCATCGCGCCTCGGTTCGGCGCCTCCATGGTTGGGCGGGAAGCCGGCCTCAGCTTGAGGGGTCCCAACCCAAAATTCCCTAGAAAGCCAAAAGAAAGGGGGCTCCAAAGAAACACAACCACGCCCATATGCTTGAAAAGTCAAGCCCAAGGAAGCAAGGAAGCAAGGAAGCAAGGAAGCAAGGAAGCAAGGAAGCAAGGAAGCAAGGAAGCAAGGAAGCAAGGAAGCAAGGAAGCAAGGAAGCAAGGAAGCAAGGAAGCAAGGAAGCAAGGAAGCAAGGAAGCAAGGAAGCAAGCAAGGAAGCAAGGAAGCAAGGAAGCAAGGAAGCAAGGAAGCAAGGAAGCAAGGAAGCAAGGCAAGCAAGCAAGCAAGCAAGCAACAAGCAAGCAAGCAGCAAGCAAGGCAAGCAAGCAAGCAAGCAAGCAAGCAAGCAAGCAAGCAAGCAAAAACAAACAAACCAAACCAAACCAAACCAACCCAAACCAACCCAAACCAAACCTAACCGAACCAAACAAATTAGGTTAAAGAGCACAAACAAACAGAAACAAACAAAACAAGTAAAAACAAACAAACAACCAAACAAAGAAACAAGCAAACCAACCAAACACAACACCAAACATGCTGCTTGGAGAACCCCCCCGCCAATCCCGAAACGCTATCTTTGCGGATGCCTTTCAGCGACCCCTTCTTGAGTTGATTTTGTGAATCTTTGGGGCAGCATTGAAGGTGCGGTATGTAGCAAGTGGACCGCCCAGCTACCCAGTGGCTCTAGAAAAAAGCGACCCCAATTGCTCGGTTGATTGTGAAGAACCAGAGCGTCCCCTCAAAGCATAGCCAAAAAGGCGGACTCCTCATTCGTTTGCAGCGCCAACCCTCCAGCAATGGCAAGCAGAACCTGGCCCAAGGCGAAGACTGCGCATGGTGGTCCAGTGCGTGCGGACCTCGGTCGTGGCCCCGAGAACAAACTTTGCCGGTGAAGAAAAACACCCGGGCGAACCAGGGCCTAGTTGAGTAGGGGAGCCCCCACAATGCATGGTGTCGCTTAACAACCCAGCCCGAAAAGTCCAAAAACGAGACACCCAGTCGTGGACACTTTCTGTAACTTGAAGGAACTCTCCGTGACTAGGTGCCAGGGGGCATCCCCTTTCACAACTATGGACCAACCTGGTTTGTGGCTTTTGGCAACAACTTTCTACCCAAGAGGTTTGGTCATCCATTAGGGGCGCGCGGAGAAACCAACCATTGGCTTGGTTTGGTGAACATCCGCAACTCCTTCAAGTTTGTTTGATTGTAATCGGTTGAGAAGCGTGTGTGTCATACCTCAAATCAGCATGAGATTTGAGGCGGCAACCAAACAGTGTTCCGGTTTGAAAAGTGATGGCTCAAATTGTTCAACCTTCACCTGAAGGCAGTTGCTTAGTGGTTCTTCCGAACAACCCAGCTGGGTTGATTCAAACTCATATATAGGGAACATCGAAAATGGCTGGTATCCTTATCTGCAGATTCTCCAATAAATCCAAAACTTATAAGGGTGCGAGCTCCAAGTAAAGAATCTGCAGTACATCATGGTAAGCTCGGTTCACCGCGTGAGATGGCGATAAAAAAAGGCAGACTTTCTGCTAGGTTGAGGCTCCCAGCTGGATGGAGCTCTTGAGGCAATCCACACCTCAGTCGAGCCGATTGCAAGATGGGGTTGGTTTTTATCCAGAAATGCGGGCACAGATGCTCAACCCACGGGGTGATATGGTTGTGCCGTTTTAAGGGTGCCCTTTTTGGTGGTTTTGAAGGTAAACCAAACGGAGAGAAAAAATGGGGTCCCTTAAACAAATCACAGACAGACACGCACACACACATACAAAATATAGGGAACTCTTCAACCTTCCCAACATGTGGGTCATGTTCGGCTATTTAGCAGGCAGTAAAATGATTCCACAACCGAAAGCACGTAAAAACAAAGGATCCCCTGTGTTTGCTTTCCCAGCAGGCGGATGAAAGCAAGGTACGAGGATAAAGGGCTAACGTCATGTCATGTACGGTTTTGGCTCTGTCTAAAATTGCAAAGGGGGGTTTCGGGTTTTGCTTACGCGGGCATCCCTGAAATAGAGCGTGTAGCACCCTAACCCCCGTTTAGCACCCTAACCCCCTCACTGGAAACTCACCCGTTTGGATTTGGGCCTTTCGACTGTCCAATGACTGAACGAGCCCTCCGGAATGCCTCTTCACTCTCTGCGAAGCTGAAAGTTGGTTGGCCCCCTTGAAGCATCAAGCGTTACCACGGCTTGACGTGCAAAGCAGGGATCTGAGAGCTGCAACAGGCAAGACTAGGACGTAGCCGCAGCTGGTGCAACCGGGGAACTACAAAACAAACACAAAACAAAAGAGCAAGCAAGAAAATCGACAAATATCTAGCAAACAACCATGCAAAAGGAAAAGAGAAAGGATAACACCCAAACATATCCATCAAACAACTTACAAACAACGGAAAACAAACAGGGGAAAACCAACAATTATTCACAAGCAAACAATCACAAAACACAGGGCGAACTGGCGCAACTCCGCGAGAAAAAAACAAAAACAAAACAGGGGGAACACCCGCAAAAAAACAAACTCACATGAGACAAAAGAGACAACTCGACAGTATCGCCAAACAAACCTCCTAAAACCCCAGAAAACAAGTAAGGGAAAATACATATACCACAAAAACACCCCAAAAAGCAGAAAAAAGAAGTGAACACACCGCTGCCCAATTCGACCGGCAAAAGAGGGCCAGGCGGGTGCGCAGCCGACCGCCGCGCTGGCCGCCTTACGTGTGAAGCGGGTGAGAAGAGCGACATTTCATATGGTGATCCTGTTGTAGAAGGAATTGCCCTTTCTGAGTGAGGAGTATTCAATAAATTTACGGGGCTGTTTCAAAAGGTGTTCCATGGCATACCTATTTGTTCATTTGATGCTTGGCTAGCACACCTGTGACTACGCTGTCACTTTAAAGGGATTCTCTTGGTATCCCAGAGATTGGCCTAAACTCTACATCCCGGGGCCAAAACAAATCTGTACGTAGGCCATCACCGTTCCCTCAATAATCCTTACTAAAGCAAGCTGCAATCAGCTTCATAACCCAAACGGAGGTCTGATTCTTGAAAGGAGATTCCAAGACCATGTTTTGTTGTCTTTTGCTTATCTGGCGGAGTATATTGTCTGTTCTACACACGTGCCGGGACCCGCTCGGGACCCCGCAATGCTTTCCTGGATTTCCGAAGGACCCAATAGACTGCAATGAAAGCGATGTAGGGACAACTTGGCTGGCTGGCTTGTTTGGCTGATATTGGTTGCTTGGCTGCTTGGTCTTTGCTCATGACTTTTTGTCGGTGGGTAAGGCAGAGAAGCCCACCCTATGAAGTCAAAATACAAGAGCGCACAAACAATCTAGCATGCTCTATCACAATGCGCGCACGTAAATGAGACGACATCATAAACAGGCAACGAGTGTGCCCCCACTTCTCAGCCTCATCCTCATCCTCATCCTCATCAGCATCAGCATCAGCAAGGAATCCCCGTCACTGAATTTCCACATGTAAAACAACAGTACCCATCATTTGCATTCACAAACGCCGCTTAGGTCCCAAGAAGGCGGATCTCAAAAACTGGTCACCTCTACACAAATACTTTGTTGTCGAAAAGATCCCAGCACAAAGACCCCAGAGTGGCACAGTTGCACAGAGAGAGGTTCATCAGCGGGTTCGGGGACTCCAGAAGGCCAGCCCATCGGTCTCTCGCTGAGTTGCCTTCAACCAAAGCCAAGTTAAGATTTTCGGAAATCCAACTCCCAGAAAGGGGCCCCAACTTAAAAGAGCTCGGGAATCCCCTCACCCCATAGGTGACCTTGTGGAAAAATGGATAGCGCTGGTAAATGGAATAAACCAATCTAAACCAGTGCCGTCTATTCTAACTAAATTAACATTAAAAAAGAACACCTATGCTCACCAAGGCGTCTCCTTCACGTGCTCCAACTCAGTTGGCCCAATTGGGACGACTAAACCACAGTCGGTTGAGATTCGTCTTTCTTTCACAACTGTACCCCTCATTCGGCAGACTCCGAGGAGAGGGCCACGGCTGCCGCCACACGTCTAGACCTCCGCATGAAGATCCGCCAAACCCTTTTTTCGAATGTCTGGTTCTGTTGCTCAGAGGAAAGAGAAAACAAGGTTGCTCTGAAATGCCTGGCACAAGCGTAAATAGGCTGGAAACAAAAGTTAACCTTTTGGCACCGGTACAAAACAATGGACCGAAACCAAAAGATCAAAAGGTCAGCTTTGGGCCTTGGTCTTGATCATCTTTTAGAAACTCGAATCGAGCAACGGAAGTGCGGAAGCTGGTGATCTAAAACGCTGGCCGGGGGAGGGGGGGTTGTCGCCTGGACGCATGCTTTCAGTGAAAGCACGTGCCAATCGCTATTGACTCAACATCAGACCTTACAAGAAGCCACAAATCAAGTTATGCCCAACGCGAACCTCTGCACATGGATCAGAAGAACCATAAGCCAATTGGAACGACTGTAGAATCCTCTGGTTCCATCTGGCTACACTTGGCCATCTCCGTGCCGAACATCCCAAAGATGGAGTACTACTGAACAACTGGGGAGTCATCTTCCAAAGTTCAAAGTTCAACTCAAAATGACGAGATTTATTTCATCAAAAACGGTTCTAAGTATTTTAACGTGGTTAACTCAATGTAATGATATTTCGTTAATCAAAGTTGTTTTGGCCACAAGAAAATTCACGAAAGCCCCCTAAGCGCATAGCTACGATTCAACGAATCTGGCGCTTCAAGCCCGCCTTCGGTCACGTGCCATGGATGAAAACTCCTTCGCCCGAGAATCGGACGCCGCACTCTTTGTACAGGGGAAAAACTGTTGAGCTGTTGAATGGCGCGCCTCTCTTTTGCTCATTTGACTTTCCTGGTCCTTGCTTGGTGGGTCAACGGCGATTTGGGAAGATGGGAGGGACATGCGCGCAAGCAGTGTTCACCGGAAGACATGTCTATTCCACGCAAGCTGCCTGAGCCAAATAAAGCCCGCAGAGTCGAAACCTTGCCCACTACTCATGCAACCCCAACCTGACAAGGCCTGGAAAATGAAACCATTGCGCATCACGCCTTTTGGATTGGGACAATTACATATTATGGGCTATTTAGCACACTAGAACAACCTCTCCGTCCAGTTAGTGTGGGAGGGACCCAACGTTGACAAACAGAACAGCGGCTACGCATAGGCCTTGGGTTCAGTTCTGGTGGGGAACCGATTGGGGGACTGAAGAATAAATGGGAATTTGGGTGAGAAACTACGAAATGGTAATTGTCATTCGGGGAAGGGATTGTTGCAAATGGCCCTGCATGGTTCTTCTCCATACGTTTTCCTGGAATGTGGGTTTTGTCTCAGAAAGTCCCCTGCTCTCCGCTGGCTTACGCACACCAAACCAGTTGCACGGTTCTTGGCCCCAATATTCTCCACTTCGGTCTGAAGACTGGCGGCCTTTGCCCTTGCGTCTCGGGGTCTTTGCTTCACATAGAGGGCTATGATTTTTAATAGGGAACCACCTCACAAAGTGGTTGGAGATGAATCCCTGCCAAATTCGCCCACCGCAGGGTCCGGGATGCATCAAGACTCCTACCCATAATGTTGACCCGGCTGTCTAAACATGCACACACCACCATGGTTCTGCAACATGATTTGGGTCCCACTTTATGTTGGGGTCAAATCGGGTGTGATTGTGCAATCACAGTTCGCCCTCTTTTACTCCTGTCGCACGCTATTGGAGCGTTCGAAAATCGGCCCCCACAGGCCGCTGCTAAGCTTCCAACTCGAGACAAACTGCATGCCTTCACAGCTGCACTTCACCCTTCGATCTGCGCAAAAAAAAAAAACACTGGGAAACGAACCCACTACATTTCATGGTGTGGTTGAGCTTGACTGCAAGCATCTTTAGCCAAACGCTTGAAAAAGCAAGTGTGAGCCACGCTGGCCAACAAAAAGAGACCCCCCGGATGTTGGCCGATTGGGGGGGGGGGGTGCTACGGCACATCCCTGCATAAGGCCAAGAAAAGCCCTTTCAGCTACCCAGTTTCGACCCAAACGCGAACAAAAACCTGCCGGGGCTTTTGAAATGAGGTCATGGCCACTTCTCAGAACCCAGAAGGGTCCCTGAGCCAAAAACACATTCTCCAGTGCGAGCTTGTCTCATAACTAAGCTGTGGATGCGCCCAAAGGCGCCACTACCGCTGCAAAGTGGCTGGCGCCCTGATGGAGCAATCTAGTTCGGAGAACTCAGCAGCATCTCTGCGTCAGAACAGAGTAAGGAACAAAAGAGAGATTTGTCAAAAGATCGTGGAACACATGGGCATGATAACCTTCATGTCCAAAGCTGTCACAATGTCCGCACGTTCTAGCGCCCCATTGAGCAAGCCAATAAAGCCAATGATGATTGCTTGAAAGCCTCAGAAGTCGTCGCCACGCGAGACGATCTGGCAAAAACGCTGGCGCAGTGGGCCCCTTTCGCACGTGCAACAAGATGAATTGGACGTTTCGGGGACCAGCCAATGACGGAGGGGTGGGGGTTCTAGTCTTCCTCCCACAAGACTGAGATCAACTGAAGCCCTCCCCATCCCCAACCCCACCCCTGGAACCCTCCGTGCCCCGAAAGCTGCGCTGAACTACTGATACAAGCCTATTTGGGTCAAGCCCCTACAAAAAGCTATTCAGTTGTTGGGAAGCAATGTGGTTGATTCTCCATATTTGTGAAGCCTGGAAAAGTAAAACAGTTTCAGAGGAGCTGCTGCAATAGTGGTACATCTCAACGTGCGAGCGACAAAGCCAGGGGTAACATTTGAGGACAAGACCCCCGTTTGAATGGCAACATGAGCTCCAACGGAATCTATTGGGACCCTTCGAAGGGATAAACTGCATGGCCAAGAAAGCCCAGTGCATGGAGGTCCCGCCATAGCACAACCTTACTCGTGCTCAAGGGCAACATGGATGCGAACGGGTAAATTTGTCATGGCGCAACTCAAGAGAAAAGGCCTTGGTGCCAGATTGAGGTGCCCGCTCTGGCCGCGAGCGTTTTGCGTCGTATTTACCGCAGATTCGTGCTCAGGCTCTCACGAAGTGAGTTGGCGACTTCTGGCCGCAAGCGTTTTGCGTGGTATTTACCGCAGATTCGTGCTCTTGCTTGATGTCGAAGTGCGTTTTGACTGCGCAGGCTCGCACAAAGTGAGTTGGCGACTTCTGTCCGCGAGCGTTTTGCGTGGTATTTACCGCAGATTCGTGCTTTTGCTTGATGTTGAAATGCGTTTCGATTGCGCAGGCTCGCACAAAGTCAGTTGGCGACTTCTGTCCGCGAGCGTTTCGCGTGGTATTTACCGCAGATTCTTGCTCTTGCTTGATGTTGAAGTGTGTTTCGACTGCGCAGGCTCGCACAAACTCGATCTTTTTGCTTTTTTGGCGGCTCCGGGGACCGTGGGGGTTTTGTCTCGTGGTCCGGCGGCACGGGTGTCCGGCGAAAACTCCCACGCTCAATTCCCGCCCTGTCCGCGCAAGCTTGTTTCCCTTTCTTTGGACATGCTTGGATGGTGCTTCTGTGCTGCGACGGCGTCTCGATGGTACTCTGAACAACAACACCCAAAAACAGCAACAGCAACAGCAGCAGCGCCACAATCGAGAACAAAGGAAGAAGCTACCTAGCTAGCTAACTCACTAACTCAGGCACTCTGGTGAAAGATCTTGCCTTTTGTAGTGATGCTTACACACACACACACACACGCACACGCACACGCACACGCACACGCACACGCACACGCACACGCACACGCACACCCACACACACACACACACAGACACACACGCACGCACACACACACACACACACACACACACACACACACACACACACACACACACACACACACACACACACACACACACACACACACACACACACACACACACACACACACACACACACACACACACACACACACACACACACACACACACACACACACACACACACACACACACACACACACACACACACACACACACACACACACACACACACACACACACACACACACACACACACACACACACACACACACACACACACACACACACACACACACGCACAAACACACGCACACACGACCATGGCGCTGGCTTCGACACGTGTCTGCTGCATTCTCTTGCGCATGTCTGTTCCAGGCCGTGTCCTTGTCTTTGTGAATGTGCGCGCAAATACCGCAAAATGATGTTGCAGCTTCCTGACAACAACCGCCGTTTTGCGGCGCAGCCCGCACAATACTCTGCAGCGTGTGACCGCCGCCTATCACTGTTTGGGGTCTCGTGCCGGGGTAATTTTTTTTGAGACAAACTCCAGGGAGCGGCTCTCAGGCCCGCCGCCCTCGGCAGACGCGCCTCCCGTGGCTGCCGCCCCCGAATGTTTTTCACGGGACCAAGAAAAGGCGCGCCAGTTTGCGCCAGCCCAAGTCGCCAAATCCTGCTGAGAAAGAGTTAGCTTCTTTGGGGAAGGCTACTCGCTGCAGAAGTGCCTCAGAGAGTCTGAGGGAGCGCTCGTGAACCCTACACCTAGTGGGCGTCTGCTGCGTATGCCACAGGCAGCGCTCGTTTTCAGAAGCAACGGCGCCAGCCCAGGCGCCACTGGTCTAGGTTAGCAGGCTGGGCTACAAGCGCAACCACGCCCAAACAAAAGAAGAAAAGCCAAACAGTCTCTTGGCCACATTTTTTCTCTTGTCCGTCTCTCTGATTTTAGGGCGATCTAACTTAGGCCCCTCACACTGGTATCATGCAGCACTGACCATTGAGGTGACGCACGAGGCGGTGAAAAACCACGGCTGGCTTGTTGCTCACGTGCTGTTTTTTTTCATTCGTTCGCTGGCGTGTTCGCTCACAAGGTCGGCATGGCTTCAAGCTCGCTTCAACCAAGATCGGCGCCAAGCAGGAATGGTCCTGAGCATGGAGCATTCTTGTTTTCCACCCCTTTCTAGACCTTCTCGTCGTCTAGCCACCTATGAATTGGACTCGAAGACGCGTGGACTGATGTTGTCTCCAAAAACGGAAAGCTCCAGGGCTGTCTTGGGCTGTTTGGGACACCTGCGATTGTGTGTCAAGAGCCAGTACTTTTCGGCTGGGCCGGCTTGGCATTGGGTGGCATCATGTACAAAGGACAACCGACCAGAAACTTCTGTAATCATGATGATCCTTTGCCGATAGAAAACAGTGGGCTCGAACTACACTTATTTGACTGGTGCCTGATGAGGGTGGATAGCAAGATGATGTCAAATGGATTCCATATCCTTAAGACTCTCCCATGTAAGGCTCTCCGAGTAGGACGGAGGGGTGCTGATGGATAAAGTCCGGCTACCGCCCAGGGCGGTAGCCGGACATTGCCTGTTGGGGGGCGGACATTACGGGCATGTCTGCCGATCGCTTGGCAATGTCCGGCTACCGCCCGGGGCGGTAGCCGGACATTCCTTCCTCCGAGGCTTGGCAGCTTTGGGCGAGCGCTTGGGTGTCAGCTGCGCGAGACGCGCGTGCTGTGGATGTTTATTTGTGCAGACATGTGCAAACCCGTGATCTGGATGCAGGTCGCTGAGTCCCGGATTCAGGTCGGATGTTGGCTCGGGGGATGTTGGTTCGGGTCCCGGATTCCTGGATTTGGATTCGGGTCCCGGATGTTGGCTCGGGTCCCGGATTCGGGGCCCGGATCGGGTTGCGGGTTCGGGTCCCGAATGTTGGTTCGATGTTGGTTCGGGTCCCGGATTCGGGTTCCGGATGTTGGCTCGGGTCCCGGATTCACGGATTCGGGTCCCGGATGTTGGCTCGGGTCCTGGATTCGGCCCTGGATTCGGGCCCCGGATTCGGGTCCCGGATTCGGGTCCCGGAGCCGGGCCCGGATCGGGTTGCAGGTTCGGGTCCCGAATGTTGCGGATTCGGGTCCCGGATGTTGGCTCGGGTCCCGGATTCGGCCCTGGATTCAGGTCCCGGATTCGGGTCCCGGATGTTGGCCCCGGATTCGGGTCCCGGATTCGGGTCCCGGATTCGGTCCCGGATTCGGGTTTCGGATCCGGGACCAGAATCCGGGACCCAAATCCAGGACCCAAATCTAGGACCCGAACCATCATCCGGAATCCGAATCCGGGACCCGAGCCAACATCGAATCCGGGGCCCGAACCAACACCGGGACCCGAATCCGGGATTCGAGCCAACATCCAAGACCCGAATTCCATCTCGGGCGTCCGGCGTCCAGTGCTTGCTTGGCACCCTGCGTCCAGCGCTTGCTGAGCGCTTGGCGGGCACCGGCGTCCAGTGCTTGCTGGGCACCCGGCGCGCAGCGCTTGGCGGGCGCCCGGCGTCCAGTGCTTGGCGGGCACCCGCCGTCCAGTGCGGAGCAGCAGGCCGAGTCTCAGAGTTGCGCAGGGTGCTGTTGCAGGGTCTCCGGATAGATCCATCCATCCACGACACACAAAAAAAAAGAAATTGGAAAATGAAATGCAATTTCAAGGGTCTCCCCCCCGCCTAATACTAGGCCTCCCTGCACAACTGCCCTTCAGTCGGCCTTGTGTCCAAAACCCAGACACGTGAAGCAGATCCAACTCCATCCAGAAGGGAGGGAATGAGCCACCAAGGAATGAACTGCGCATTCTTGACTCTACTCCAGGGTTTATGCGCCAATCGCCGCGTATCCTTTCCTACTGAGCCACGGATAAATGGCGCGAACCCCCGGAGCTTCTGAAGACCTGACCGGAGCTTGAAGGCGCAGAAGGTACTGCTTGGCGCCCGCGTTGAGTCACCCACGCGCATGGGGCACCGCATTAGCGTAAAGTCACCCAGCTCGCGAAAAGTTACCCAGAAAATGCAGAATCTCGTTGGGGACACCATGTTCAGTCAAGCCAGACCAAGGAGTCTTCGTCCAACGAAACGGACACCGCATTGTTTGGTAGATCACGGAACAAAGAGCCAGACCAAGGAGTCTCCGTCCAACGACAGCACGCGGACACCACATTGGTAGCTTGTTCGGTAGATCACGGAACAAAAGAACCAGCATGAAGACACCATGTTCATGCGTTTTTGAAAACGATTCAAAGCACCCCCCCGCGAAAAGTGGACTTCCTTTAATTACTACATCTGGGCCTGTTTGGACACAGTTCAAGCGTGAAAGCTGGCTGTCCTGTTTCGGCAAGACGCAACGGGACACTGACGGAAACTTCATGACAGGTGTCTGAACGCAGATCTGCGTGCGGGCACCTCATCCGGGCGACTTCACACAAGCCCGGGTGACTTGACAGAAGCACCCAGGAAGCACCCTGGGTGTCTTATTTTGGAAACTTCCCTTGTTTTGAGGCTGTTTGCCAAGCCCTCAATTTTAACAGGCCGCCTGGCATGATCAGGGCTCTGTATCTGAGGTGCTCAGGCAACAGGATGTTTTCAGAAGATAACGCTCGTTTCTTAACCTGGTCGCCTAGGTGGAAGAAACTTCGCCCTGTATCTCGCCAGCACTCTTCGCCGGCAAAAAAACTTCGCCGTTCTTGTCGCCTGAAAACTCCGCCGCAGCAGAGAGAAGGCTTCGCCCAAAAAATCAGCCCAAACATTGCTGGGCCTTTGCGGCCATCAAGGAAGCAAATCGGAAGGCTGCTTGCGGATACAGCCCTGGGCACAGTTTGTGATGAGAGGCTGAGAATGTTCTGAGCAAGGACTGTAATGTTGACTGGACGGCAGCTGGAGTCCAGCCACGATGGGTCTGCCTGATGAAGGCTAACCCGCGCGCGCTGCCTATCCCGATAGAACGGTGGTCAGTGGAAGCGGCGCTCTAGAGCCCTTAAGTCCGCCCAAGGACTCCTCAATGAGCCCACGAATGGCGCATATGGGAAGCACTGCCGTAGAGCTCTTGACTCGAACCTTTGCGTTTCCTGGCTTTGAATCGCAATGAACAAAGAAGCAAATGTAGGAGGAGCTCCTGGAGATTAAAAAGTACTACTGTTGCCGAAAGGCTTGGACAAACATGGCAATCCTGACCGCGCTTCCCAAAAACCTTGAAAAATCCCAGTAAATCCGTTCTGCAGAATGACGGTAACCCGACCCTGGGTCGCCACGCGAGGACTGGAGCCAAAACGTGTTCTTTGCTACTAGTGGTTGGTGGAAAAAACAATCATTCTCCCAAAAAGTTGAAGGTTCAGATCCAGCCAAACAGCAGTCATGTGAAGGGCTCGACGGCAACTGGTTAACTCCCCAGCAACACAAACCCTTGGGACAAATCTCCTTTTGGGGATGAAGAGGCGTTGTTGAACCTGGATTCATTAACCTGGCGGATTCTTCGGGGCTTCCCCTCAACAAAATGAACGATTCCCTCAAGAGCAATGCCTCATCCCGGGTTCCCACTAACATTTCGACCAACTGTGAGCCACTGACCGCCTCCTTGCAGGTTGGTCGGAGCAAAATGGTGTGCTCCATCTGTGTGACGTACCTGTAGGTATCTCACTTGCAAGGCCATAGGCTATCCCACCCAACGACCTAACTGGAGGTTGCTGGACAATGCTCTGGTAGGTCTAAGAGTTTATCATGGCACCTTCTCGCGGCCTAGACCCAAGCCCTCAGTTTCAAAGAACAACCAAACAGTCGTGAAGGGTACACCGGGGTCATGCGGGCCAGAACAAGGGAGAAATGCTACTGCTTTCACACTGCAACGTTCAGCCCAAAACACCAGCACTGTTCAAAAGCTCGGTTTGGAAATGGGTCCACCAATCGGCAGGTGCCGAGGCCCGGAATGGGGCGTCCAACCTACAGTAATATGATGGTCAAAACTCCCAATTTGTTCTCCATGTCCGTGACAACGGACGCAAGTAAAGAGGAGTTTGGCCATTGCACCTGCATAAACCCTACCAAGCATGCTCCAAAGGAAGACCATGACTCATCGAGTTTGACCTGCATCAAGCTGCTTTACATCGTTCTCAATCTCTCCTTGCTGGAATATAACGTTGTACGCGTTGTCGTCTTATGATCATGACTAATTTTGTTTTTTCAGTACCCCACAACCCGAATTCTACTTGTTTTGGCCGCTAAAATTTGCGCCATTGCTGACTTCTACACCATGCGCGCTTAACTTCATCTTGCCGTGCCAAGGGCATTTGGCATTTGGCGCAAGAGCTCCAAAGGAGAAATGCCCTACAGAAATTGTCTCTGGTTTCTAGCAAGCCTTATGATAGCCCATATATATATATATAGGTCATGCAGGGGGGGGGGGTGACCATATATATATGTATCTCTATATATATATATATATCGTAGAAACAAGAGACGATAATCAGAACCATAACCACAACCAAGCCCGCTGCTATGGTTGGTCTCCAAATGAGTGCTTTTGTTTTAGGTGAACCCGCTCTTGTTTGGTATATTTAGAAGGCACCCCAAAAGGGACTCCGTGTCTTTTTCGGCATCCCCTCATTTTTGGGGGTTGGGATTTTCATCCAAAAAGGGTAGCACGCCAACGAATCGGAGGGCGGTCAGGTCTCTTTTCAGGCCCTGTTGAAGCGCCGGGACCCTCTAAGATGCTGGTTCCTTTTGGTTTTCCTTTAATCAAACCTCAAAAGAGTACCCTCAAAAAGCACAAGCCCATGTTCTGCATGTTTCAACCCCCACCTCTTTCCTGGTTTCTTCCCTCGAGCGCAGAAGCCGCCAACAGGGCGCTCTTTTTGTTCGAGGGCACGAGCCCTTGGCATCGCACAGCGGAGGGTAAGGCTGCACAATGTCGTTGTCCACCAGATTTTTCAAGGCCTCGGGTGAAGCCCAATGCTTCAACAGTCCTTCTGGGGTCTACACAGTTGCCGGGTGAAAGCAGAATGGTAACCCGGATCAATAAACAGCTGGATTATTTAAAGGAGGTGTCCCAGCTAAGAGAGAATCCTTCACATTTAGGGAAACACCCACTACTGGGTAAAAAGATGGCACAAATCTTTGTGGGTTTACTCAGACGGAACCCCAGGCTTTCCGCCGGGCTAAGGAGTGCCTGTGTTGCTGCGAATTTTCTTGAGGGACCCTTTTGACAATTTCCCCCTTTTGGTGGCTTTGAACATGTTTCCTTTGGGTTTTCATTTTATCTGGTGAGTCTCGTGGTGGGTTTGCTTGATGGAAATCTAGTTGGAGCTCTGGAGGGAACAACATGTGTCATAGGAACGAGCCGGGAATTCTACGGGACATGTGCACACACTGAAAGCGCACTGCTGGAAACCGAAAGGAACACCCCGAAGCAGAAGGACAACCAGAAATGGACAAAGACAACAGCTTCGGCTTGCTACGGTGCTTGCAAAACCGAACAGGAAGAATCCGAACTGCCAACCGGTAACCCAAATAGCTTGCGATGTGGCAAGAAGTGTGTTTGTGCGTGCTAAAACGAAAGCAAACCTATGCCCCACATGTTGGACGAAACTACGGAAACTCAATCTTTGGGAGGGCCTAATTTTCTCTTCTTGGTGCCCATTTGCAGCTTCCCTCCAGTTGAGTTTTGGGCGGGGGCGGTTGGGGGCATACCTGATGTTTAAACTTTCGTTCTGGGAGATCTTTCCCTCAAACAGGGCTCCCTAGATTTCCCCTGTCTCAAACATCGCCTGTTGCCATTTGTGATTGAGCTTCCTTTTGGGTTTTGGGGGGCGATGTGAGGGAAAGCAAAGGGAACCTGTCCAGTACCGTTTTCCCCGATCCCCCAAAGGCTTTGGCTTCGCGAGCTTGAGGTATTTTCACCCAGCACGCCTTTTTCTCTTCCCTTGAATCCAGAACGTGTCCTGGGCTGGCAAACATTTTTGTAGTGTTCAGTTGGTAGGCTGTTTTCTCGGCCCAAACAGTTTGACTGAGGAATGGGTGTGTCCTTTTTTGCAGGTGCCTGTTTTTGTTTTTGGTTTTAATGGGAAACCAAAAGGAAAGCCGCCATTTTGGGGTTGGGGTCTCCTAAAAAAGACACTCAACTTTATCTTGAGGCTCACGACTGCTGTGTCTTCATTTGGGGGGGGACCCCGAGTTGCTTTGACTTTCCTTTAGGTGTCCCATGTTTCCCTCGAAACCCCTCGGGGGGGGCGGGGGGAAAAAAAGGAGAAAAACAAGACACACACACACACACAAACCCTTCCAAACCTGACTTGTCCCTTAAAAAACCCCTTTCAAAGCCTGATGAAACCCTGTTTGGTGGCAGCCCACCGGCAAGCCCTTGCCCGGGCTTCCGCGCCATGAGATGTCGGGTCTGGCCCAGGTCGTCCAGCCACCGCCGGCAGAAGCTGGCGGAGCCGGACATGCCAGCCCAGCTTCATGCGGACGAAGCCGTGGGTTGAACCAAAGGGAAGGAAACCCAGGGGCACCGAGGAAACCGAGTCTCTGATACTATTTTTGGCCAGTATGGCCATTGAAGCAAGGCCTGGGGAAGCCTGGGCTATGGCTATGGGCCCCAAAACCCTGATGGGTTCGATTGAGGGATCCTTCATCTTGGAAGCACACACCCCAATTTATCCAACCGTTGTTGTGTCCAGGACAAAACATATGTTCCGCGACGCTGCCAGACTCTCAGTTCCTGGTTGGATTGTCCAGCAAAAAAAACATGTTGTCTCCCAGAAAAAATTGGTCCAAACCCGACGAGTGAGTGGAGTCCACGAACTCAGGCGGTGAGAAAACAGCTAACATTTGAACATGATTCCAGTTCTTTCACAGACCCAGACATAGAGCGGAGACTCTGGCAAACTCTTTCTCCTTAGGACCCCCCACGCGAGAGTGCCAAAGTTCTGCTCGATGGCATGCAGCAGCGCCTGCCCGCTTCGAACGCTGACGCCGGTCCCACGGAGGCCGGTTCTTCCAACCCCAAGCCTTGGCCCACTGGGGTACGTCCAAAAATCGGATTTTCGGTGTCTGTTTCCTGTTTGGCGAAGGGAACCATGATCATGGAAAATTGATTTGTTTTTCTCGTTTTTGTGGTTACCCCATTCTTGGTTGGTTTTCATGCGGACGAAGCCGTGGGTTGAACCAAAGGGAAGGAAACCCAGGGGCACCGAGGAAACCGAGTCTCTGATACTATTTTTGGCCAGTATGCATTGAAGCAAGGCCTGGGGAAGCCTGGGCTATGGCTATGGGCCCCAAAACCCTGATGGGTTCGATTGAGGGATCCTTCATCTTGGAAGCACACACCCCAATTTATCCAACCGTTGTTGTGTCCAGGACAAAACATATGTTCCGCGACGCTGCCAGACTCTCAGTTCCTGGTTGGATTGTCCAGCAAAAAAAGCATGTTGTCTCCCAGAAAAATTGGTCCAAACCCGACGAGTGAGTGGAGTCCACGAACTCAGGCGGTGAGAAAACAGCTAACATTTGAACATGATTCCAGTTCTTTCACAGACCCAGACATAGAGCGGAGACTCTGGCAAACTCTTTCTCCTTAGGACCCCCCACGCGAGAGTGCCAAACAACGGGGAATTTTGACCATGTCCCCTGACTTGGGAAATGAGTGACGTAGTGAGTTCCGTTTGTCCCTCCCAAATGAATAGACAAATCATGAATGTCAAAAGACAGTCGGCATGATTTCTGACCTAAATCATGTGCACCAAAGGGCCCTCTATTAATCTTCATACCCATAAAACTGCTCGCCCAGGCCCGATGTCCGCCTTGGAACTCTTTACTCGAAGCGGCACGTGGGGCGCGTCATAGATCCTCGGGGGCGGCTGGCGGATTGGAGACTCGGCTTGATGTGCGGACCAAACAACTACGAGCAAACTGGGGCATCAGGTAATGCAAAAGTTGGAACCCTGCCAAAGAAAATGATTGGACGCGTTTGTGGCAAGATACAACCCATTTTAGGGATCCCTAATTTGGAGCCATTCATTTTGCTCTTCAATGTGGAACCCCAATGACTGAGTTCCTGTTGGTCTCGTCAATGGGGCACCTCATGGGGCCTTCAACCCAAATCGGGTTCGAGGCTTTCGGGCGCTTGCAAAGGGCGCCTGGAAAACCCTGGTCACGCGGTTCGAAGGGTTGATTCCCCATTCTCTTCACGCGTTCCTCTCTTTAGAAACGACAAACAATCCCAGGGGTTGGCCTCAATTTCCGCATGCCGCAAACTGACCTATTTGCTTACTTTGGGGTTCTACGTTAGTCTTGGAAGGGGTGAGTGTGCGCTAGTCTTTTCTGGAAATCGACTGCCAAAACGAAAGCGAGGCGCATTTTGTTCCGCAAAATAAATCAGTTCCTGGAAAACCACTTCAATGCTCATGAGATTCTCAGGGAACCCCCTTTTGGTTGCTTGTAAAGAGAAACCAACAGGAAAACCCACCATTTAGGGGTCCCCTGAAAAAAGACACGAGTATACAATGAAGCAAACCACATAGAAAACACATTTCTTGGTGTCCAACTTGTGTCCTGGCGTGTAGTCAACCAGATGCACTAACCACCCACCAACCAACCACTGGCCACCAACCACCGACAAACCACCCACTGGCCGCCAGTGACCCAGCCACCCACCAAGCACCCACTACCCAGGAGAATACGCTTTGATGGGACAACATGCACGCCTTCCGAGGTTTCTGTGTCCATTCGGCCGCGCCGCTTCATGTAGTGGGAGCACTCCAAATCCTCCACCACGTAGGCCTTGCCTAAAGCAAAAACTACCAACGTCAAGAGTGCGCATCGGCTCTATTTTGGAAGACAAGTTGATTGGTGATTATTTGTTGAATTGCTAAAGTGGACTTAAGAACCACCAGTGGATAGCTTCCTCCAGGGTGATACCGTGCCCTCTGTCCAATGGAAGTGAATGGTCTGTTTCACATCGCATGCGAAGGCCGGCAATTGAAGCATCGGCAGCACCCGCTCCAAAACCAACTCCCACGAAAGCTCTTGCGCATAACATATCCTCCGCCCCTGTTCCGTGTCAAGTAGCCTTGGTACAAACGGGCTTCCAGTTTGTGCGTGTCCCATGATGGCATGCAGGGAGCCTCTTTATCAAAGCTCCCATGAAAGCCCGATGTGTGACGTGGTTGAACATCTGGGTGCAATGGGATTTGTGTTTATGCAACAATGGGTTTTGGGTTTATAAAAAAAACAACAAATGATTGTTTCATTTAAAACACAAGCAACAGAAACACCAAGCTATACCCACAGCCCTGCGAGGTCGCTATGACAACAACTCTGGATCGTCCCCTTGGCAGGAACCTGCGGGCAATCAAGGTGTCCCCAACTGAAGTGGGGGGTCCCCGCAAGCAGGCAAATGGGTATGTCAAAATGGGGGCTTGTTTTTACAGGTGCGTAGAGAGAGCTAAGGATGAGACGAGTAAATTAAACCAAGCAAAACCTTGCATGCAGCATATCACTTCACATGTGATATGCTCGTGTCTGTCAGCTCAGGGGTTTCGCAGTTTCCATCAGCATCCGCCTTTGACTAAGGCTCGCGATTCCTAGTTCTGCGCTGATTTGCTGAAGACTCACTTTCTGCTGATGCGGTTCCTGGCGCCGAGCATTGTTCTTCAAGTGCGGCCAACATTAAGGCAGCCTTTAGCGTCTTAACGTCCATTAGAGTAACCCAGAAAACCGGGCGCGAGGTGAAGCTCAACGAAGCAACCATACAACTCTGATTGTGATGCTGCCTCAACGTGATGATGTAACACCGAATTTCACCACGGTGGGGCCATGCCAAACGTCATGATGTGTGCGAAACCGTGCGGGAACTGTGGCCGATTCGAGGGTTGGGGTTTGATCTCATAAGCTACGTGAGGCTCAACCCCAAAAGCCAAAGAGCCATCGCATCTGGCGGCACCGGTCCCTACTATGCTTCCCGTTTTAACATTATCCACCAATTGAGGGCTTGTTAAAACATGGGACTGAGAATGGTGGGTGTCCAACCTTGGTTTTCCCTGTCAAGACCCAAAAAGGGTACCCTCAACAAAACAAACACACAGAGACGGGCCCCATTTCTAGGGCTCGGGCCGTTGGATGCGAAGGTTTCCTCGGGAAATCTTCTTCCAGAGCGGCCAAATCATCAAGTGTATGTTCCATTCTCAGCACTGGGGCCTACATAATCAGGACAGGCTTGGGGGAGACTTTAAAATCAACCCAAATTAAGTCAGAACAGGAAGATACTGTTGGTATTTAATATTTCAGCTCTATTAGTTTGCTTAGAAAAAGGCTCCCTGGAAAATGGGAAAATTGCTAATAGATTCACTTCCGCGTGAAAAATGCTGAAAGACATTTGAAGAATATCCACCAGAAACCCCACCACCTGATTTAGAGAGGAGAAAAGCCTATCGCGAGCAAGCTGCAAACCTCGCAAACTGCGGATTATGGTTGGCGCTTGCCTTGTGTTTGCGGAATTAGTCGCATCTGAATGGAATCAGCAGTAGCGCGTACAAAACACATCCGGCAGCAGGATTGTACACATTGTACACAGTCATTTGTCTGGCGTGTGTGTGGGTGTGAACCCACTAGTACAGAAGCTCGGAGATGGTCTTCCACTTACTTTCCCGCACCTTCCCAGCGGGAGTGAGGGTAATTGAGCTCATCTTTCCCACTCAAACATTGGGCCATGACATGGGCGCGTCTTCTTTTAGGGGACACCCAAAAATGCTTGGTTTTCCTTTGGGTGTTCCTTGCAAACCAACCGAATGGGGGTATCCCGAAAAAAGGACACCCCAAAATGTTTCATTGATCCTTCCAAAACGACGTCCAACGTCAACTAATCAAAGGGCACCCCGGGGAATAGCCCTTGTCAGGATGTCACTTCCGATCGAGTGGATTGGCCACTCGAAAGTCAAAACTTCAGGTCTGAAGTCCAGAAACGTAGGCGAAAAGGGCTCATTTTGAGTGCCCCAACAGAATTTCTGGGCAAAAAGCCCAAAAGGGTAATCTCAACCCCTTGTGGTTCTTTGATCTCTTGCTAAAAGTTAGACTTGGGACCCATGGCAAAGAAATCCAACTCGCGCAAGTCTGAAAGTCCCGGGTGGGCCGCAGCCCCGGCCCCGTGCTGACCCAGTGGCGATCGCATAGAACTCGCCCTCCTCCATGATGGTGGACTCCTGGTTCTTCGTGATAGGCACCTCTCACTCGGATCGGATGGAATCCGAATCTGGGCTTCCCTGCGTCCATTTACAGACCAAAATCAGAACCTCGAATCAAAGCCAGCTTCCAATTGTGTATGTCCTTGTTGAAAGAAGTTTGGAGAAACCTTTCGAGAGACCGTGTGGTTTGGGTTCCATGGTGACTTTCTGGGAGAGGACAACCACCTTTTGATCTTTACCCCAACAAAAAACATTTCATTCTGGCCCATATTGCGGAAACCTCAAGCTTCCCAAGGACGAACTTGGCAACTCGCGGGGCGATCCACAAATCTGGAATCAGTCTCCAGATTTGCAAACCCCCCTTTGCATTGTCCGTTGCTTGGCTTATTCATCTGCCTATATTGCGGTAAATCGGGCTCATGATGGTGGTCCTTTACTTGCGGATGCCTTGCTACGGGCTTTGGAATCATAGTATAAGTATGATGTTTGCAGAACAATGGAGCAACCCAAAACATCAAAAGGGACACAAGCTCCGACAAAGAACAATGCTGCTTCCGGCTCCTCGTCTCTTCCTTATCCCTTCAGAGACCCTGTCCAGCTTGCAGCTGGATCTTTGAAACGGGTTTGCTGCTAAGCTCTTCCCAAACTCGGCTCACCAAAGGGTTTGCGCATAATATTAGGAAAGCCCCCGGCGTTCCTTGTTGGCCAGTGACTCTGGCAAACAAAAACACCTTTTGCGGGGATTGACAATTTTTGGGTGTTTCACAAAATAGGAATTGGTCCCCCAAAATGGTTGTGGTTTGTGGTTGCCCTTTAAATACCATTGAAAAGACCCTTTTTGGAGGTAAACGCGCCGAACACAAGGGACTTGGGTGCACCCAGTTGGAACGGACAATCTTACATTCCCTGATCCCAAAAAATTGCCGACTACGTCACACCACAAGGAAAAACACATCTAAACGTGGAAGCCAAAACGTGATGTTACGGGCAACGTGCAATATAGGGGAATTCTTGAAGGGTCCCTACTACAACTTAACATCCCTTTACTGGGTTGTTCTTCCCCTGAGCAAAAGGTTGCTCACCTTTTGTAGGTGTGGCGTTGCGCCATTTTCTTCCAAAAGGTCCGGATGGGGGCTTTGGGGTCGCAAATGGTCACAAGCCATGCTTACCTGGAACTGCGCGGCCGGAACGAAGGCTGGGCGGCGGGCCGACTTGCCCCCGTGGATTTGGTACGGCCCGATGGAGTGGCCGTTCAAGTTCCGCACGGGCTTGATGGGGAAGGTCTGCGTGCGGACGGCGTGTCTTCTTAGGCTGGCCGGAGTGGCTTCGTATGGATTAGTTTTGCAAGGGAACCAAAGCCAAAGGCAACCAGTGCCATTTTGGGGTCCCTTGTTTGAAACCAATCATTTTGGGATTCCTACTTTGAAAAAATGCACGGTCGAATTGCCCAAAACGAGTGACACGGTGACAACAGATGGGGGTTGATGGGGAAGGTTTTCAGGCAGCACCAGCATTGCTAAAAAGTGGCAATAATAAATACATAGATAGATATATATATATATATATACACATGTATGTATGAATATATATGTATATATATGCTCAGCCCCCCCCCCACCCATGAACTACCTTTTGGGTGCTGTTGCACTGTCTCAAGGCCAAAATTATACTTATCTGACGAACAACTATTCTGCTTATCTGAAGGGCAATGTCTCAAGGTCAATAGTTCTACTTATCTGAAGGTAATGAGACTTCTTATAGAGCTCCTCACAAAGCTCTTTTACAGCTCCCTGTACAGCTCCTTACACGGCTCATTGTTTTTTTTACGGCTCCTTATAAGGCCCCTTGTGCAACTCCTTGTAAAGATGCTTGTAAAGCTCCTTAGAACGCTCCTTGAAAAGCTTATAAGGATCCTTATAAGCTCCTTTTAAAGCTCCTGACAAAGATCCTTATAAACCTTGAAAAGCGCTCCTTGTGCAAAGCTCCCTACAAAGCTCCTTACGCAACTCCTTATGAAGCTTTATTTAAGGCTTGCAATTCCTTGTAAACATGCTTGTAAAGCTCCTTTTCAGGCTCCTTGAAAAGCTGCTGATAAGGATCCTTATAAGGCTCCCTTCAAAGCTCCTTCTAAAGCTCCTTATACTCCTTGAAAAGCTGCTTATTAAAGCTCCTTATAAGCTTCCTTCAAGGGTCCTTGTAAGGCTCGGATTATGATTGAAGTTTAATTAGAATTTAAATGGACTGTAAACAGCAAACAATTCAATTACATGTGCATTTCCTCTCTTTTTATGAAAATGCAGGAAATTCCTTTCGACATTAAATCAATATTAACTAGTAGAATAGACGCAAGAGTTCCATTGTACTTTCTATCTTCAATTAGAATCTAACAAAGCATCCTTTCCATGAAAAGAGCTTAACAAGGGAATAATTCAAATATGATGTACTATGCTAGTTACAAATCAAATGTGACTCATGTTTAATGAGATTTGAAAAAATATAGAATTAGAAGTCTGATAGAACTCAAGAAGGACATAATTGCATTTGAATGCCTATGTTGCTTTAGATTTTAAGTATGATGTCCTTTCCATATTTTGAGGAGAATCTTGGGTTTGGCTCAAACTTTTTGTTTCTCGTGGGCACCTCCACTTGGACAACCAAAAAAAGCCTTGGGTTTTTTGGCTTTGTGAAAAATAAAAAACAAGAAAACTCGAGGAAAACAAAAAACACGTCGAGAAAACCAAAAAACAAATATTGAGGAGAATCGTGGGTTTGGCTCAATTGTTTTTTGGTTTTCCTCGAGTATTTTTTGCTTTTAGGGCCAAAACCAAAAAAGCCTTGTTGGGGTTTTTGGTTGTCTGGGCCCACCCGCTTGAAAAACCAAAAAAACAAAGTTTTTGTTTTTGTGATTTAAACAAAAGAGGAAAAAAAACTTGAGGCAAACCAAAAAACAAACTCGATAAAACAAAAACAAAAACAATTGAGCCAAACCCAAGATTATCCTCAGAATATTGCTTTTTGATTTGTTTGGTTTTCTCGAGGTGTATTTAAAATAATAATACTAATAATAATAAGAATAGTAATAGTTGGGTTTCCTCGAGTTGTTTTTAGATTTGTCTAAAAATATGATGTTCACCTCTTGGACATTTGTTTTAACAAAGATAAAAGCAGGCGCTCTTTTACCACCTGTAGTGGTAGCATCTGAACAAAAAAACACGTAAAACGATACAGTTGTTTGTTTGCTATGTTTTCATATTTTGAACTATGTCTGCATGAAGGCATTTCAAAACGGAATCTGTTTGGCCAATTTATTGTTTTTATGGTTGAGAGAGCTAAAAGCTATGGAAAACACAGTGTTGTTGCAGTCATTTGCTGAAGAAAGCAGGAAGGGTAGTTCATGGGGGGGGGGGGGGACTTTTTTTACATATGGTTTGTTGTACAAGGTGTCTAATCCTGGAGAAAGCAACACAGGAAGGGGGATCCCTTGAAAATCAAGTGCCAAAAACGGAGGTCTGCTACTCCAAAACGGGGGGTATACTGCAACAACCAAACCGAGTTGCCCCCTTTCAAAATACTCCACTAGTTGGGGAGTAGGTTGACTGCCAGGCTTCCTCTTGTGCTTGTTTTCGGGGAAGAATGTGGGTTTGGCATTGACCCTCAAAACGTGTGGTGCCCCCCCCCCCTCCTGTTGCCCTATGGAATCAAAGGGGACCTAGGCTGGTTCTTCAGGGAGCCAACTATATTGTTCTGGTGGCTTCACACATCACCTGGAAGCCACTGTGTTTCGAGTTTCCTTTTGCGGTGATGTTTAACAAGAAATACGGGGATTTGTGGCGGGGCGGGAGCTACCAAACTGATGAAACGATAACTGCCTTTGATCTCCCTTTGAAAGGCCAGGGGCTACTTGTTTTAATTGTAGAGAATCAGAGCCCGGGTGTCAGCTCCACTTATGCTGGACTTGTCCCGACCAGAACGGGTTTTGCTTGTGGCTCTTGTTGCGACTCCCAACTCACCTTTGGCCCTCACACTGTCAGGGTGGCCTGTCCCCTTTGTGGTGCATCCAGCCAGGGCCGAGGACCAAGAACAAACACATATGTCACATATGCCATTGTGCTATTCAAGGGAAGGCCGCTTTTGATCTATGCGAAGAAAGAAGACTGACTCTGGAGCTCAAGCCGTGCCAAGCTTGCCAAGCGTCCCAACCCGGTTCCCAACCATACCCAGCCTTTCCGTTCAGCTCAATCTCGTAGGACCTCGGCCGGGCGCATCCCAAGTCCCAACTGCGAGCCACGTCATGGAACCCAAACACCCAGTTGCGGAAAAGGCGTGTCCAAGCCCCCCCCCCCATTTTTTCCTATGCTTTTGGCAAGTTGGTTGTTGCAATGATACGTGGAATTGCAACAACCAACTTGCTTTCATTGCGGCTTGCTGACAAAAAGGATCGGCTTCAGAATGGTCACAACAAATGGTGTGGGAATTTGCGCCATCTACTTTCACCCAGCTGTAGAACCTGCTGTGTACCCATGGCGTACGGGAAGGACTGCGGATTGCTCTTCAACAATTCTTCAACAGCCCAGGTGCCTGCGAAGTCAATAAGGAACCCCGAACAGCCGTGGTTGGACATACGGTCCCAGCTACATGATGTCCAAAGGGTGGGTTGAATTCCATACCCAGCGTGCAAAGTCACCGCAAGCCAGTTGGGGGAAGGCGAGCGAACTCCGAGCGCGTGGCTCAATGGTCTCCTGGATGGCCGCCCCAATCTCCGAGAAGCGAGCGTCGATGCCCGCCATCTCGGAGCCCGAGGCGCTTCCCGAAAAGGGGGGCGTGGAGGTGTCAAAGTGATGTGGCCTCTTTGGTAAAGGGAGACCAAAAGGACACGAGCCATTTCTTGGGACCCTATTTTGAAAGAAACCTCCGAAATCCGCTTTTTGGTGGTGTTCAGCTTCACCGTTTGTTGACCCATCGATGAGTTTGCCTTGGGGTGATAAATATCGGGAACTCTGCTGAGAGCCCACAAAGGTATAGTGGACTGCCCAAAATGTTCAGCGTCTTGCCGGCTTTGCGTGAACAACCAGGCCTGAATTCCTTGAAGAGAAACCGAAAGGATTTCTTTGCAACAAGCTTGGGCTCCTCGCGTTCAAACACATGTTCTGGGCTTCCCCGCGTTCCGCCCGTAGGGCAAACACCCCGATTTCTATTTGTTTTAAGAAGAAGAAGTTCCTATCACGATCTATCGGGACAACCCCAGTTGAGCTCCAGGCTCGGGCCCCGGTCAGACTGAATTCGGTTTGACCCAAAACCGGAGGGCTCCGGTTCCCTTCAGAGGTGACGTAAAGTTTCAACGGCCAAACCGGCCAACGACTGGAAGGCTCAGAGTTTTGGGAAGCTCCGGGCTTGAGATGCACTTGTCTAGGGGCCAAACATAAAGCATGTGATTGCACTGCCTGTCAAGCGAGCTGCTTCTCAAAATAGTGCGGTGCCGTGAAGTCGTGCACAATTCGAGCATTCTCCCACTTGGAGAAAGTGAAAAACAACATTGGTAGACCGGTAGGAGAAGCATGGCTCGATGATAAATTGGTTTCCACCCGGCCCATCTCCACCGCAAACGGTCCCCCTCGGTATACATGTTGCGCAGTTTGGCAACCTGGACATGTACAAAAAAAGCTCTGACGCGACCCCCCGCCCAAGCCACCCAAACCAATTCGGGGCAAACCAAAGGCACCGATCTTGGAACTGAGAAGTAACCACAATTCGAAAACCTGATAGAAGGGGTCGCCACCAGGCTCTTTGCTACATAGTGAGCTTGTTTTGCCCCCTTTTTCGGTGGAATCGCTCCAAACCCATAAAAGAGGCAGAAACATCAGAAACCACAAAGGCACAGCCATTTTATTGGGGTCCCCCCCCCAAAAAAAAAACACCTAAGACACCCCCTCTCTTCAACTCGAGTTCATGATCTTCCAGAAGCGGCCCCTTCGCAACTCAGTTGCCTCTGTCCAGCAGAGGCCCCGTGCCTTGACACCGGTGTTGGTGCCTGCCTGGGTGGCCTCGATCAGGGGGTCGTACCTGCGGGATATGCGAGTTGGGATGGATGGAAACCCTAAACCAGCCCTCTAATGGTGGTTTGGTTTGGCGCTAATGGTGGTTTGGCTTGGCCATGTGGTGGGTTGGCGGCTTGGTGGTTTGGCGGCTTGGTGGTTCGGTGGTTTGGGTGTGGTTCCCCATTTACCCTCTACAAGAAGAGGTTCAAATTTGCAGTTCCCGCCAATCCAAACCACCTGCGGGGAACCTGAAGCCAAGTGCAGGATTGTTCTCTCCGGAATAATCAAATAATTCCATAACAGAAAACTGCTTTGTTTTCTCCACGGGCATCCAAATGAATGCGACGCTTCCCCTGAGTGGGGAAGCACCCGGCAAAAAGGAGGTTCCTTTTGATTACATGAGACTGGTAAGACAACGCAAAACCGAGGTGAGGCACAAGCCGTGGGAAGGTTGCAGGCAGGTTCCAGTCACTTTGGCTTTGGAAACAAGGCAAGCCGCAGTTATGTGGGGGAATCATGGCTCTTCCTTGACCCCCAACAAATGGGTTTGTCTCCAAACTAGGGGCCAATTTCTATGCTCGACAAATTATGTGTGACATCTCACATGGTCGTCTTCCATGTTTTGTTTGGTCTGCCCAACAATGGTTGGTCACGCGTGTTCCGCACCTCTTGAGTGGCCCCAAAAAAGTCCAACATTTGCTTTCACCACTGGCTAGGGTCTTCTCAAAAAGTACAATAAAACAATAAAACACAACTCGGGAAGTGGGTTTTCTGCTACCGCGCGAGGGCTCAGAAACACGCCGGGATCTGAAGTTAGAAATGGCCTCTCATTGAAGGCGATGGTGAAGGCGCAGTCGACGATTCGCCCACCTGAATGCGGTGTTTGCGGTTCCTTCCCTGATTTAACAGGCCAAATAATTAGCATTAAAATGGTGGGGGGAGGGGGAGGGGGAGGGACAAAAATTAAGTCATGATGATGGGAAAATAATTATTCAGCCGGATGGTGTCCCAAACAGGGGTGGACCAACCGAAAATAAGACACATCCTGACTATGCCTTATATTTGCCTCAAACTTAGCATATTTTTGGAGGAGGCCCCGGCAATAGGGACTGAGCAGAAGGACTGGCGGCAACTCACGCTGTGAAAAAACGCACTACCTGAGTTTGCGCTCCATGGTTTTGAACCTTCAAAACATGTCATGCTGTGGATGGACACAGTCCTGCACCAGTTGGTAGGTGGTTTATCCCAGCATTCATAGTTCGTCCTTCCACAGTATTACTTCAAAACTGATCCCACACATACACGTTTTGTCGTGATTTTCTGCAAGAAGACCCAGCAGATTTGGAGACTTGCGGAGCGATTGTTCGATGCAATGCCCAGGCCCAAAAGTACCCATACTTTTGTCTGCTGCTCAAATGAGTGTGGCTCAAAATTCGAGAGCTAGGGTTATGCAGGTTTTGGTCGCTTTGCTTCCATTTACCAGGGTGCCAATTTGGGTACCATTGCCGCAGCGAAATGACTCGAACTCCAAATAGAAAACATAGTCCAGAAACTCAGGGCTATTCCATTAGAGATTGCCAGGTCAGCCTAAAATGTCCGACAGTGACACTGGAATCGCAGTCGCCGAATAGCCATCCGGCTTGGTGGCGCCCTATTTATATATATATATATAGATACACATATCGGTGCATGTCTATTTTGAGGGTTCCCCTTTTGGGGCTGATTTCAACAGGGATTAAATGGAAACCACTAGTTGTAGAGGTTCCCTGATTTTGAGACAAACCCGCGTGGGTACATGTGCCTAAAGAAATGTGTGTATATATACATAATTAGCAAAATGCATACACATGTTCTATATATATACACATGTGTTTATTTACTTATCTATTTATTGAATATTAACTAATTAATACAGTTTTAAATTATTTATTTATTCATTCATATGTTCCAGGTGTGTATGTGTAATATAATATCCGTACTATGCAACCAGGGGTTATCGACCCTGGGCTCCTACCCCAAAATTCTGGCATCCTTCAGCCCGGATTCAGGTATTCAGCCCGCGCCTACTTGGACACCGAAGTCCAGCTTGCAAACATCGTCGTATTGCAAGACCTCGACCAGCGAATGTCCGATGAACACCATGTCGTGACAAATGATGCGGCATGCGTCAGCAACTGGATGTGGAATTTGGACCCTCTTCGTGATACCAAAAAGGGACTGTCCCTCGACTCTACATTGCCTTGGTATCGCCCTCAAACGCACTTTCCCAAAACCATGCCTCTGTGTCTTGCAAAGGATCAATTGCAACTTGGTCCCGAATCTATGACTTGATGGCAATCTTCAAGCCTAAATCAGGAATCCAGGGTTCCTTTCCGGGTCTTCCTCTTGAAGCATCCGTGGTCACGTCATGTGTTGCCGCTTGTTTCTGCACAAAAAACAACACCTCCAGTGGCCAGGATAATTGCCTATATTTGGGTTGGTTTATGCCAGAGAAATTCCCCACCCACCACTTTTGGATTGCTCAAAGTAGGAATCGTAAAACACCCCAGATGGGTCGCTTTCCTTTGGCCTCCTTTTAAAACCCAACCCAAAAGATTGGTTTCCTCAAAAACTCCACATCCAATGGGTCACCCGGCTGTCTCATCCCCGTAGTTGGGCGTGTAGTGTGCCGCAACCTGGCAGTCATTCGCAGCGGCAAGGCGGCACTTGGACGTCTACTTGGGGAACGCCTTGGCTGGCTTTAAAGGGTGTTCGAAAGGAAGCCAACCATTTCGTGGGTCCCCTCATTTTGGGCGCCATGAAAGTTGCAAAGGCTAGCTTTCCTCCCACAAACTGGTACCTGCAAGATCAACTTTCAAGGCACCCTTTGTCACGTGCCATGAAAGAAGGAAAAGAGTACCAAACAACACTGGTACACCACGATTTTCAGGGCAAGGTTCATCTCAGTTCCCAAATCCCTATTTTCAGTTCCCAAGCTGGTGCTCTCTCTCGACGAAAGCCGGCTTCCCGCTTCAAAGCTGGGCTCCGGGCCCAGTTCAGGGAGCAGCCTGAGGCCAAAGTGGAAGGCTGCAAGGTGTGGGGCTGTCAGACGATCCATCCGTGTGCCCATGCAAAATTAATTGCTGGTTTCCTGTTGGGATGGAGCAGGTAATGCATTGAATGGCTATCTGGTAATTATCTTTTCAGGAGCCTGACCAAAAAAAAAAAGCCCTTTGGGGGGTTCAAGGAAAGCCAATGGCCCCATGTTTTGGACACAAATGGGTTTGCTTTCGCTGACCTGCTGAGTTGACTGGCCATGATTGAAGTTTATGAAGGCAGCACCACTTGATCCTGGACCTCGCCGAGCTCCTCGGAAGATGACCTCAACGATCCCGGGAAAAAAAAGGCGCGATGCCGGTTCCTCAACCTCGACAGCCTCCTCCTCCGACGAAGGATTTTCCAGCTGCAGGAGGGTTGGGTGGATCGACGCTATGGGCCTGCCGAACGAAGAGCCCGGCCATCCTGCAGGGCTCCGCAGGTCGGCTTCCGCTGCCAGAATGCAGCTCAAAAACCTCCGTGAATACCTCTCTCGACCCAAAGCCTTTGCGACTCTCGCATCCAAAATGGAAGCCGCTAACATGGAGGGTTCCGCTTACACCCGGCATGGAAGTAAAGGGTGTACCTTTGGGACCTTGTGGCGAAGACCTGGAAAGCCAACAAATTCAAAGAGTCCATTCTCTCCAGGAAGCACCCCCAAACCACGGGCAAGAAAATAGTCCCACATGGAACCACAACGAACAGGGTGTATATCCAATCTCACAGTTGGGGTTGTGGTTTGCTAGTGGAAAATATCTTAGTTTTTCTCTTGTCTTGGCACAACCCCAGCGCACACCAAGACTCCTACTTTCTGATTCTGTGCAATATTTGGGTGTTCCTGAAAAGTAGCAACTGCTCTGGTGCTTTTGCAAATTAGCGACCTCTCGTTTCGGTGGCGTCCTTTTTCCTTTGAACACCGTCTCCAAATCCTCTATTTTCAGACAAACCCATTCAGTCCTCCGAGACCCATTCTGTGCACCTCTCCCGTTCTGGGCGCCCGGGCCAGTGGGAAAGCCCCAGCCAGCCTCCAGGCCATTCGCCTGGCACAAAAACAAAGAACTGGAGCTCATTTTCAGTGACAAATGCGGCAGTGTATCGACTGCACGCCGTTCAGGGTGTGACACTGTTCAGATTGCACGCCGCTTCACCGTCTTCCTATCCGTAAAGTTGTTGCTGTTCTTGCGCTGCTGGAACAGCGCACTCAGCTCTGCATGCAATGCCACAGTACACGAGTTTGCTCTCTCAAGCGGCACCTGGAACGAAAGCCTCGGAAAGGCACACTCCGCAGATGGGGGCCGTTTTGACAGCCCTTCATGAAGGAAATGGTCCAAGGGGGGCCTCATTCAATCTCCTTCTTTTTCTGGAAGGGTACATGATTGAAAGGGGGAGTTACACATTCTTTCCGACAATTGTTCCCTCAGCTGAAAAGCAATAAGGGTAGGACATACACAAAACATGGCGGCAAACAGATCAGGTGGATAAGAAGCAGCTTTTGGGGCTGGCAATGTCGGAGCTTGTCATCCAACCTCCATACCCCAGTCCCAGCAGCTCCTCTCTAAGTTACCCATTGGCTACCAAGAAGAGCGGACCTGACTGAGGTCCCAAAGAGTCTATATGACACTCCGTACTAAAACTGCCGTACTAAAACTGCCGTACTAAAACTGCCACCCAGCCAAATCTCCAAGGGGCGGTACTGGGAACGCCCAGGAAGGTAGTAATGTGGTTTGTTCAGGGAATAGAGAACGAAGTTTTGCACCCAGGGCCAGCGCTAACGAATACTAAAGAATGTACACAAGAATACTAAACCAATACTAAGCCAGTACCAAGCCAATACTAAACAAACTCTGAATACTGGGCCAGCTCAAAGGAAGACTGCTCCAATACTAAGCCATTCTAAACACTACTGAGCTGTACAAGAATACCTAAGCCAGTACTAAGCAGTTCTTACTGGAAGACTCCGTAGGCAGGCAGCTTCCACGCTCCAGCTACCTTTTTTAATGACACAAGGAAGCCGCCCGGCTATCAGCCGCGAGCAAGCAAATCGCCAGGAGCACTGCGACTAGCTCGTGCGTCTTTCGCTCGAGGCGTTGGCAGATGTCTGTCATCTTGAGCCCGGGCTTCACGTAGGACTGGACATACCTGGCGAAAACAACATGCGAGTCACAATAAACCTTGCCGTTGGTGGAACTAAAGGAGGCACCCACAGAACGAGAAAGGGACAGTAGGTCTTGCGGACAAACAATGTGGCATAGCCATCTTCCCTCAAGTTAGGCCATGCGGCAGTCGCGCCATGCTTTCTGAACCTTTGAAAGGTGGCCTTGTTAAAGACCAGCTTCCGCGGAGCGGAGCGACGCACATGTCCATCGATTTCCCGCTGAAACATGACCTTCTGTGGCCACCCTTCCTCGAGGAAACAACAATTGAAAGTGGCTGGAGATGAGACAAGTCCCATGGCTTCTTTGGTCTTGAGTTATTCGACTTCCTTCCCACCAAGACATGGGGGTGTCTTTTCCAGAAGGTACCCAAAACAACAATTTGTGTGAATCCAACCTTGGAAAAGACAGACCCACATGACCTCCCTTGAGTTGGAAGGCCCGAAAACCGTTGAAACATGAACATCACGGGCAGCTCCCTCCTATTAGGGCAGTTCCGCAGCCCCCCCAAAAGGCTCTGCTCGGCCAGGCAATCAATTTCGCGGGTTTGGGAATGAACCTAAGTGATCCCCTTAAAGGAAGCCACCAGTTGACTGGTTCATAGAGGTATGAACCGAAGAGTCCCCCAAAATAAACTTGTTGAATGCTTCCGTTTGTGTCGGAATATTTCACAAGGAAATTCACAGAGGCTTACCCTCCGGTCCTCGTTGCCGAGGAAAGTCGTTTTTGAAGATTTTGAGCCGTCCATTTGAGTTCTCAGAATCAGCACACCAGATGGCCTTAGCCTGCGAACTTGACTTTCGACGGTCATCTAAGCCCTGGGAACTTCGGAGGCCCTGCTTCATGCTGAAGTTCGGCCCATCCAGACAAGTCTGGGTCGGTCACCAAGTGAGTGGCAAATGTTGAACCCGGGTCTCTCGGCCGTTCTCAACTTGTGGCCTCAGTTTAGAGCATTGACTCCCAAAGATGGTGGAGGTCAGCCCCGAGATGCTGGACAAAGTTTATGAAAAGCCGGAGTGTGCATGGAACCTGACGTTTCGGGGTCCTGGCTTAGAATGTGTTCGTTTAAAAGGGTTCCGTGCTAGACCGCAGGAAAAATAATTTCCAAGGGATCCACCTGGGTGGCGGTCTCTCTCCCTCGCCTCCTCACCTGGCGATGAACCTCTCCCGCCTACGAGACACCGGCTTGGCAACCGGAACGTTCCAGAATGAAGATCCCCTAACATCCATTCGCTTCTTCGTCCCCTGGAAAATATGGTCCGGTGAAAGATTTCTTACTGGACACCAACACTGGAGAATCAAAAAACAATTTAGAAAACGGAAGTCAAGAAACTATGGTTCAGTTGGGGTCCGTCAATAACTCGACCCGGCACCTGAGAACAGGCGAGCGGGCTTGGGGTGTGCCGCAGGCAGAAGTAGCATATGGTAAGGCAGAAAGCCTGGGGAAAAAACCACCAGTGGCACGTAAAGACCCATGGGCATGAAGTCCATCACAGGGTTGTCCTTTGAAATTGAGGCATGTCTATGTATGGGTTTCACCCACAACAGCGGATGTGTGGATGTATGTTCTCTAACAAGGAGTTCTTGCTGCTGTTCAGACAGCCCGTCTGATCGTCTCCCGGTTGTAAAACCGTGTACTCTGTTTGCTAATCACTTATGTCCATGTAAAATGTATCCCAACTCCGGCCACAGCTTCCTAGGAGTAGGGGAATTGCAGCCACCATCTCCTGCTCCAGACAAGGTTGAACCTCTCCCCCCCTCCCAATTTTATAAGATAAAATAGGGTTAGTCCATCCTTGTTGGAAAAGAACACGAAACAGTCCAACTTTGACAGAAAATAAATTGACAAATCACGATTTATTTTGAACTCGTTTTGGCGGGTTTGGTTTGAACAGTCCAAGTTGGTCAATAGCCACCAAAGGATACCAAAGAAACTTCCCGACTAATCCTTCGCGGGGCGGACGCACCCCCTAACGTCGAATGTCCACCCAGCCATCGAATGGGATACTTTCTACTGGATCTTTGCACGCGTTCGAAGGGCTGATGGACAACCATGGGCTTCACTGCCATATGTTGCTTATATACCATGGGGGGTTAAAGACAGACATCACTTGGTTATTTGAGCCTTTGATCTTAGGCTAACCTGGACGCCATTAAACACCCCTTTAAAGACTGAAGTCATCTTCCCAAAGAGTCCTGCAAGTTTCCATGTTACCCCCGGGTATGTACAAACACCCCTAGGCGTCGGCTGGTTTCCCTGAACCAAAATACGAGAAATCCGGACCCAAATCCGCAGTCTGCAGTGGGACACCGTTACAAACAAGGAACCCACTCCCAGTGGATCCCAGTCTCCTTAACCCAACAAGGACAGCCCCGCCGTCGACCATCCGCCTTTCGGATCTTCTCGTAGTCGTACGAGGCCAGGCGCTCCAACTGGCGTCCGTTTGGAGTGGCATCCTCAAAATTAGTGTAAATAATTGCGGACCTTGTTCCCTTGTAGCCCAATACCCCATTCTAAGTACTTCGCCCCTTACTTGCCTTACCCTCCACAATGTTTGGCACTGGAGCAACGCCGCTGCAGAAAGGTTCGCATCCTTTGTTTGCAAACACCCGGCAGCTTGAGAACGTGAAAGACAAGCACGGTCGCTTGAGCTTGCGCTGCCACTCCTTACGCTCACATATTATACCGGTTGGGTTTGTTTAAGACCTTCTATGTGTTGTGTGTTCTCTCTAAACAACTCCGACAACTACCATGTTACTGATGATACGTTCGAATGAATCATTAAGTGCACACATGTTATATTCTATATCAGATACACGCCTCTATATCAAGTATAAGTATATGCGGATATGTGTATATGTATTTTAATATGTCTTGTTAGTGGAATGTCTTGGAGCGGCGGTGGATGTTGATATAGGTCGAAGAACCGCACCATTCCATTGCCCGGGTCGCGTTTTGGCTTCGAAGAACTGAACCGAACCCGACGCGCCTCCCGCTTCTCAGCAGAAGTGGTGCGGAAGGCGTTGTTGCCCACGTACCTGAACCGACCCACCCGTCCCACCTAGTGGGTCCAGCGTGACATCCTGAAAACGCTTCTACATTCTGATTTGGAGGGAAACCGCCGAAAGTATGAGAGTCCATCAACATGTAGCCAATCTAAGGGGCCCAGCCGTATCTCCCCTATAGGGGAGGCGCGGGTACGTGTCCAGAACTCGTGTCTCAATTGAATATCCGCCGTTTGCTTTCCGCATATCCGGCTTGGCTTGGCCTAGCCATGAGAATCTGAAGTGTCTTTTGGCCGTGATTCAAAGGATCCTTGACAGTTGGCAAGACATTGGATATATAGAATCCGTACGGTCACACCAACGCTCAGGCGGGCTGTTGCCAATCCCTATTCGGGCGACCAGTCGTGGCTTTTACCAGTTGAGATTCCCGAACGTTGCCTTGTCTTTGGCCATACCGTTGTCCAGAAACTCAGGGAAAACCCGCCTCATGGCAGCCATCAAGTGCTGCAGAACTTGACCGCACAAAGGGATAAGTTAGTATTAAGAGGCCCCCCCTTTGTTTGACCCCCGTTTGGGGATGTGCCCAGGACCGTGTTGGGGAGCTAGGGCTTTTCCATGAAAGTGTTTTCGCACACCGTTGTTTGTTTCACGGCGAGGGCCCCAGTCTGTTTTGGGACAATAAATGAAGACCCTGAAAGTGTTAAAAACCCCTTTCAATGGGGCGGGGGCCACCATGTCTTGAGTCAAACAGCGAAATTGATCAAACGATATGTAAAGGTATAATTTTGCTTTTTGAATATACACTTTGTTGCAAAAGTCTGTGAGCCCCAACAAACATTGTTACGTATCTTGAGAACAAATGTATGAAATGTTATTCAATAGCATGCAACTTTACATAATCATAGAACATAACTTGTGGTATCAACAGACAAGGCTCAGTGCCAGGCAAGTGATTTGTAGCTGACATCTTTTTCAGCCCTCTATGTAGAACATGTATCGTATATTCATATCATGTTTTTTCCACACGCAAATGTAATTACAACTACATGGTGTAGTAATAATACATCTCAGCGGCACCTACCTACTATAGGGTCATGATGGTCGCGCCTTTGGAAGGTCAAACTTGACATCCTTGTAGCACAAGTCATGCTGTAGCCTTGATTCATATCGACCTCGACATCAAATACTCACCATCTGTTCCGGCCGGACTGCTTGAACGAAATTTCACAAATAGAGACTCACATGAGCTATGGTCAACACTCCTTATATATGGCCTATTTAGAGAAACCAGTCTAATGGCTATGAAGGATACTCACGACCAAGTGGATGACCATCCCTAGTATCCCCAAGGAACCGGTCTTTTGACCTGCCTCACATGAAACTCGGCAAAAACCTCCGAATCCTACGTGTCCCTCCGACTCGAATCGCGCGGGTGTTCGCGGCGCACTCGACGCATTCCCCTTGGGGGAAGTTACTGTCAGGGAACTGCTCGCTGACCTCAGCGTCGAATTCAAGGGACTCGAGCGTTGTTTGGTACCACAAGTCGGCTTGAGGGGGATGAAATCGATGATCTGAATTGGTGGTTTGGATGATTCTGGAGGTTTCCCATTCACCTTCTTCAAGCACCAGGGGTAATTCCCAAACCAATCCAAAACAACAATCAAAGCTTACCGAGGATGAGTCAATTTGGGTGAAATCCCAAGACATCTCCGGACAGCCAACTCAGACGACTTTCCTCTTGCCGGTTCCAGTCGTCATCCTCCTCCAGTGCCTTCAAAAGCCCTTGAATCATATTCTTGAAGTGCCGCGACCAGAACGGAGGGAGTCGCATGTGTGGGGCGGTCGAGGCTTCGCCCGCCGTCTTGGTGTCGTACAAGAAGAAGGGCCGGTCGGGCTTGATCTGCATCAACTCAGCCGAGCGTGCGAGTTGAGCCCCGTCAACCACGCACTCGGCGTGACGAACTGCTCCACTTCGTCCATGAATTCCAAGGCTTCGAGCCGGCTGCCTCGAGGGGAATCCAAGTTACTACATCCAAACCTCAGTATATATAAGGGTTCCCTCAAGTTCTCGTTGTTAGACCAGTAATTGTGCCGATCTCAGTATGGAAGAGTTCCCTCAACCCTCAGTATGTAAGTGTTCCCTCAGCTCGCCTTTTTGTTGGTTTGCACCATAAGTTCTACCCTTGAAGAGATTTGTGGGGGAACGCGAGCGCCGATACCTATGGACAGGGCTTCGCTTAGAAGTGGCTCTTAGAAGGGTCCTGAAAACTTTCTGGGGAGGTGGTGAACTGACCCTAGGTGTCCTTTTGGAAACCAAATGGCACTGGCAAACGAGTCGCCAACTGAAACCAGTGCCATCGACTTTCAAGCGAACTGACCTACAAAGGACACTTCTGGACCTGACGCCTGTCTTTGAAAACACCAACACATCCACAAGAGTTCTCGAAGTCTCATGCAAGCATGCACCGAAAGGGTGGTAGGTAGATAGCATTGGTAACCTTGTCAACAAAACACAGCTCGCAACAATGCCACTGCAGACCGATTGGAGCCACAAAACCTATTCCCTGCTGTTGGCCACATGCAACAGGTAATGTGTCCCAGCCGTTTGTTTCCGCTCTCCCAGCGGGAATATACTGGCCCCATCATTTCACCATGTCCAAGGTCATTCCAACGCAGGCTGCAGCGAAATGACCGCAGCTTCTGCCTTTGACCACCCCGAGACACTCCTTGACTCGTAGGCCTGAAGCATGAAACCCACTCCAAATTCAGAGGGATTTGTCACTTGAGTTGCGCCGGGTCTGAAGTGCCCTCAACACCGCAAGGGTCGTTCAAAGGGACTCAACATATGTCACTTTAAGGGAATTCAGTGTTGATGCGGGCTGGTCAATCCCGGAGCAGTGCCCAAAACCCATTGGCTGTTGCTACCAAGATGGTTTATAGGCCTTACCAGTACTATAGCCCTCATGAAGCATCACGAAACGAGGTAGAACCACCTACTGACATGCCCAATCGCGGTTTACTCTCGATATGAAGCTACCCTTCAGGAAAGAGCCTTCATCATGGATGAGCTCATTCCACCGCGAACCGGTGAGCTTGTTGTGATTTCATCAAATTCTAGAACAATCCTAAACCCTGAACAAGTGAGTTCGTTTTGGCCCCATGTGTGAGCTAGGCATGGGGTCTGTCTCAAAATAGAGGACCCCCAATGATGTTGTTTTCCCTTTGGTCTCCCTTCAAAATACGCCCGTAACGGGCACCCTGTAGCCTGAAAAAGAGACAACCCGAGGCTTGGATTCGTCGCAGTTGAGGCCAGACCGGCGTGCGCTGGGACCGCTGGGACCGGTACCGGCACGTCGAACTGCGGGCTTTGCCGCCACTGCCGCGCCCCCCAATTCTTGACCCGCCGCAGGAAGGAGTTGTCCTCGGGGCTTGGAGCCGAGACCCTTCCCAAGTGTAGGGGGGATCCGATGCTGATCAGCATAAGCTTCCCTCCAACAGGGGGTTTGGATTGGTGGTTTGGTCGTTTTGCAGGGGTTTCTTATTTACCCTCTACAAAAGCGAGGGGCTCAAATCCAAAGCACCAATCCAAACCATGAACTAAGGTGTCAAGAAGCAAACGGGGAGATCCCTTTAAATTTGACTCAACTGGTGATCTCTACAAGCGAGAAGGTGAAATATGGGGAGCCCCGATCCGCTCACACACGCCAGTTCGGAAAGTTCAGCCCGTCCTGCTCGGGCATGTTAAAGGTCTTGGATCCGCCGCCCTGCGCGAAAGGAGCAGTATCAAAGACAAATGGCACATTCCTGTTGTTTGGGGAAACCATCGGAAAGCCGCCATGGAAGGAAACCACAGGAAAACTGCCGATGTTGGAGCCATTTTATGGTAGAAAACCACACAACAGCTGTTGCTTTTGAGGCAACCCATTGCAGTTGCCCCAAGTGGCAATTGAACTCAAGTGAGAAAGGCGGTCCAACTTTTGCACCGTCCAAATTGCCTTCGGAAGTTCCACTCGGGCCGAAGATCAGTTTGCTTGGAGCCTCCACAGACAAACATGCCCGGGAATCAATCCCTTTGTTTCACAACGAGTTGCTACTCAGACTCTGTGACATGACCATCATGGATAATTTTGCCGAAGGTGAAGCCGTTGTGACATCATGTTGCAAAACAAAGGCACAAGCTCTCAATCAGATTTTGATACCGGAACTTGGATTCGGATCACCGGACACAAGAGGAGCCATGCGAAGGCCATGGCTCTTACCTCTCCCAAATACAAAAGGGGCCCATCTGATGGTCCTAGTTTAGAGGAAGTTGATCTTCCAGGATCTCTCAGTCAGGCTCCATGTTGGCCCAAACCAAACCCTGAGGCCGCCAAGGGGAACCCAGGATTGATACACCCATGGTTGGTCAATTTGGGGGGTGCCCCGTGATGAAGCTCCTTCGCTTTTCGGGGAAACACTCCTACTCTCTGGCTGAGTGGATGGCCCAACAAAAGTCCAAACTTTATAATTACCTCTAAAATGGTCTTCCCAAAAAGTTTAAAGTTCATGAACTCAGGAAGTGAGCCTATCAATCCCGACTCTGCCTTGGTGACACGTTGACGCAGGGTTGACTCCGTCACCCCGAGACTTCCCCGGTCACGCGGCTTTTCGCCAGCGCGTTGCGCGGGCCCAGGCCCGCTCGCTCGCCTTGAAAGGAAACCAAAAGGAAACCAACCATTCTAGATAGAAGACCGCCATGTTCAGAAACCCCCTGCAGATGAAGACCCAAAAACTGAGCTGCCGGGTTGGCTGGGGCAAGAAGTTGACCAACTTGTTGGGCCCTGACTAAACTGAAGCAGTCTACCAGCAACAGCTTAAAGTTCTACCCAACATGCAAGACAAACCATCGTTTTTGGATGTGTCTAGAGGAATCTCTTTTCGGCAGGGACGTTTTGGGTTTGTTGTTCTTCAACTTGTGGTCCAAAGGGCAACCGAAAACAAAAACATACGCGCACACAGACACAAACCAAAGCCAAAGGCCCTGCGTGCCCTATACCGTCGCTTTCGGAAAAGGGCAGGAGTTTCATTGGAGGGCACCATGCGATTCCAGGAGTTTTATTGTCACGGACGTTGCCTTCCAAGCTTTCGTTGGGCTTGGCGGCTTGGACGTGCGCATCCTGTCCGAGCTGACCAGTGACATGGCAGATGGGAGCATCAAACTAACGCTTCGAAGGGTCCAAATTGTTTTGCATCTGCACCAACTAGAATTCACAGACGTGACACAGAAACCCTATTGTGCAAAAAACCTTTCTCACGGGTCAAGTGAGCGCGGCAGTTCAAAGCCTTGAATCGCTCGCCCACTTGACTGCTTGCTATGTCGACAGCTGGCCATTGCCCAAAAACGACTCTGCGGGTTAACTTCAGGGGAATCGCCAGGGATGAATTTCAAGAGTTGGAACCAGCACAGTGGACAATCCCAGCCGAATGCTGCCCACCAAAAGGGCACTTTTAACTTGGCGCAAAGGTGATGATACTGAAACCACCAAAATGGAAAGTGCGAGTTTGCAAGTTTAGGACTGCGAAAATGATCTGATTGATCTCTGATGGAGGTTGCGGCTTGCGCAAAGGGTTCCCGCATGCGCTCCTCTGAAAAGTATATGCGCCAGCCTCAAGACTCGCTGTATAGGCCGTGGTCATGGTTCCCTCAACTGCAACTCTTGCCATGATTGTCTACTATTGTATACATTCCCTATTTCGCGGTCCATGACAATCCCAAGAAACCCCAAGTCAAAAATAGTTTGACCAGTACACATGCATTCCACCCCCAAATGCGTCAATTTCACCCCGCCCGCCTCGCCCCGACGGCCCCGACGCCGCGCAGCGCCCCAGCCAGCAGCCGCCCAGCCGCCGGTGCGCCCCGCGCGCGCTCCTGGCACGATCCAGCCAGAAAACAAACTATGGTCGGCGATTGCCTTGCTACACCAAAACGTTGCGTTCGGGGTGTCTTTTTAGGGGGACCTGAACATGGGGGTTGTCCTGTTGGTTTTCCTTTAAATCCACCAGAAAGGAGTAACCCCAAAACAACACCCACCTTGGCTGTTGTTGAATGGCGGGACGAACACATGCTCTCAAAAAGAAAGGCTGCAGATCCAACCACATAGAAGCGGAACTCATCCTTTGAATATACAAACAGTCGTGGGTACCCTCTACTGGCATGGAACCATCAGAGGGTCCCTTCAGGAAAATGCCTCAAGCCAACAGTCAGATTTTAATCGGAACGTGGGCGGGGGGAGGGTATATGGTACTCAAACGGAGAGACTCTTCAAAGGAGGCTTTAATTGGTTTTCAGACTGAGGCTTTCACGAGATCGAACACTCGCCACCTCAAGAGCTGGCAGAAGAAGCAAAGCGCCTCGCAGTTGAACGTTACCTTCTCCCGCTTTTTCATCCAGTGGCCATTGGAAAAAGAGGGCACTGTCTTTTGCAGTTCATTTTGCGTAGAACCCCTTCAAAAACGGAATTGTCAAGCGGGAATGCCCCCACTTAAAGGGAACCAAAGTAGCTAATTTTACATGGAAGCCCCTTCAAAAAGAACAAAAACATAATTTAAACAGGAATGCCCACTTAAAGGGAACCAAAGTAGTTAATTTTACATGGAAGCCCTTCAAAAAACATATAATTTTAACGGGGACTGCCACCAAAAGTGAAACAAAGGCACTGGTCCTCTTGCGACTTTTTCGTGACATATATGGCAACTCACTTCCGAGCGAGTCGAATCCGAAAAAGTCCAGACTTTACGAATGATCGTCCCAAATAGTCTGAAGTTTAAAAACTGGAAAAGTGAGTGGGTGGAAATCAACTTTCCTCAAAACGGAACCCCCTGGCAGGTGTCATGTCGGTGGGAGGGTAGTCTTAAGATGACGACCCTGTCAGCATCAAGCTGGAGTGGTCTGGCCTTGAAAACAAGTCCATGAAATTGCATCAGCTCCAAACTGCAAAAGTTCAAATCCTCTGACTCCGAAGTAAGCCCCCGCACGGCCCAAAACTTTGGGGGGATCCTGGTGCCAGAATGCGCCATCTTTTGGGGATCGAGCAGTGTCCTTCGGCCTTGTGTCTTCGGGCCTTGGCTCTGTCCAAACTAGGGTGCTTCAGGGTTGGCCTTTCTTCTGGGCAAACAAATAGAATTCACCAAACGAAGAAAACAAATGGACCCCTATGAAACTAACCTTCAGGAAATATCTCCGGAACGCGAAGTTTTTTGGCCCAGACTGCCATAATTCGAAAACCACACGAAAAGGCATCAGGGTGCCATCAAGCTGGATTGCGTTTCCGGGGACACGAATGTCTGCCGCAGCGTTGTGGTGCAGGAGTTATTCCTACAGCGACGATATTACGACGCATTTGGCCCAAAGCAAGTCAAGGACCGTGGAAAGTAGACGTGAGGTCACTTTTTGGAGCCAACAAATGGAAAAAGCCTCAAAGGTCAACAGATTGATTTGCAAGCAAGAGAGGAGAAGAAAATTATGTTTCTTGCTATAGGGCCCCTTCAGTTTTGGGGGCATCCTCGGAGCCCGACCCATTCTGAGAACAAACCTCTCTCAGCGGCGTTCTGCTTGGAATCTTTGTTGAAAACAGAAGACCAGAACACTGCATGGTCAACAGGTCGATTGGCAAGCTAAGTCATTAAACTGTTGCTGCCTGCCTTTGCTTGAAAGCAAGGCCCAGTATAGGAACTACTGCATTGCAAGCTAAAAGCACCAACGAGGACAAGAACGCTGCACAGAGACACAAACACACAAGCACACAAACCCAAACCCCAGAAACACAGAAACACACGAACAAACGAACAATCGAAAACAAAACCAAAAACACAAGCAAACAAACGGGCAAACAAGCAAACACACAAACACACAGGAAAAAACAAACAAAACCAACCAAAACCAACCAACCAACCAACCAACACACCAACCAACCAACCAACCAACCAACCAAACAAAAAAACAAACAAACAAACAAACAAACAAACAAACAAAACAAAACAAAACAAACCAACCAAACCAACCAACCAACAAACAAACAAACAAACAAACAAACAAACAAACAAACAAACAAACAAACACACACACACACACACACACACACACACACACACACACACACACACACACACACACACACACACACACACACACACACACACACACACACACACACACACACACACACACACACACACACACACACACACACACACACACACACACGCACACACCCACACACACGCACACACACACACGCACACGCACACACACACACACACACACACACACACACACACACACACACACACACACACACACACACACACACACACACACACACACACACACACACACACACACACACACACACACACACACGTATGCACATAGTATCCAATGGTGTGGCCCCCTTTTGTCCTCCAGTCAAATGCAAGTCTACGCTCCCCCCGACGTGAACCCCTTCTTCCAGTTGGAGCCTTCCTGATTCAAGGCGCCGCCCCCCCGGCCGCTTTCGAAGCGCTTTGGCCTGGCGTGAAGGCGTGAAGCTTTCTGAAGGGTTCCGAGGGAGCAGCAAACACCCGAAGGAATCTCCAGGTTGGGCTCTTTTCCACCCCGTTCCCCCCCCCCCCGCGCTTAAAAGACAAAACACATGAAAAGTGAAAAGGACCTTTCCGGGCCACTTGGTGGGAAAACTAAAATGCAGGTTTATGTTTAAGCTGCACACCCTTTCAAAGGAAAAAGCGGGCGACCCACTGGTTTGAGACAAAGGGGTGTCTTTTTTTGAGGCCACCCTTCTTATAGGTTTGAAGGGAAACCAAACCAACGTCCATTTTGGGGGCACGGATTTCTGTCTTGAGACAACTCCAAACCCACTTTGTCGCCCCCGCCGCAAAGGAGCTGGACTCCGACTCGGTGTCCGTGTCCAGAGTGGGCATCGCCGGGGCCGGCGGGCAGCGTGGATTTCTCGCGCGCGCGGCCGCGGTCTGGCGGAGAAGGGTGAAACATATGCTTAAAACAGAAAACCGGGAAATGACCCTATGTTTTGGCGAGGGCCCGAAAGGGTTGGAAAAGTGTCTTGCACGGCTTTCAACCACAAGAATCAAACAAACTACTGTTGGCTTCCCTTTGAAGGGCATGATCTGCTTGCTTCAACAAATTGGAGGGTCAAGGGGGGAGGGGCCGTCACGCTGGAAAACAGAAAAAATGCAGGACCTTGGAAGAAAAAAGCCGATTCTCAGCTGTGAACAAATCCAGCATATGTGGCATTCAACCAAAAAGGAGCATATGTACGACTGCTGATCAAGCGGCAAACCCCTGCCTTTGTCGCAATCAAAACCTGGTACCAAAGGACTCTGCCCATGTCAAACCTCAAGCCGGACATCCGACCTATTCGGATTCTGGCCCACCTTCACTTATGGTTCTGATTCTCATCCATAACTCGGCTTGGGATTTTGCAAACCCAAGCCGTGGCAACACAAAGGTGTTGATGGTGGCTCTTTTTAACATGGCTGTGTGCGTATTTGACGGCACCCTGAAAGGTTGGTCCTCTACTTTGACACACGCCCACACGCGCGCGAGTGCGCGGGCTGATCGATCAGCCTGTGCCTCTTCCTCCGCCGGCGCCGCAGACGCCTTGGCACGGATCGCGCGCAGCTGGTCCTTGGTGATCACCGTGTCCCCGTCCAAGGCACCTACACGACTCGGGCACGAAGCCACGTTTTGAATAGCAAAGGAAACATGGGCCACCCAAAGGAAGCCCAAGGAAAACCAATCAGGAAACCAATTAAATCAACCAAAAATCAAAAGGAGACCAAGAAGGAAATCAACCAGGCTGACCAACCAAAGCGGATGCATAGAAGACAAGCAGTACAGTAACAACTTAGGCGCAAGAAGCCACGCAACTGCCCGACACCAAGGCTGCCGCTTGGAGAAGACGCCCAAATGAGGCAGAACACAGCCTCGACCGTTGTTACCCATATATCCAATTTTCATCAGGGTCCAGCTTGGGTTGGGGGGGGCTTCCCCCCCCATGATGTTCGAAGAAGTGGTGATTCAAATAGGGAGGAACTGGTGATGCTGATGATGCGGGAAGCCAAATCCAAGAACCAATGAAAGGGTGCAAAAGCCAAAAAGCTCAGAGAGAACTGTGAAAGCAGAGGAGCATAAACCAGCGAAAAGCCGCAAAAGCCAAAACGCCACCTATGCGAAAAGCCAAAAAGCCACCAAAAGCCGCGTAAACCGACAAAGTGCCGAAAAGCCCCCAGATTGGGTTGCTCAAAATTGTGACCTTTTTTTGGGTGACTTGGAATGTCTGAATGGAAAGCCACAAGGGAACAGCGGCCATGATGCCATGTCCCGGGATTTCCGGCCTTGTTTTCATCACCCGCGCCCAAGTTCTCCGAGACCCGGCCGATCCGTCGCCTGCGATGAGGCGCCGCGCCACCGCGTCGGTGGTGGCGCCCTTGGTTGGGCGCTTGGCTCGGATG